TGTAGCGTCCCGTCAGACAGGGCTCGCAAGCGTGGCAAGGAATATTGGGCTCGATAGCAACACGATCGCCGGGTTTGAGGGAGGTGACATCGGGAGCGACCGCAATCACTTGACCAGCTGACTCGTGACCCAGGATGTGATCGCCCTCGACAATCATTGGGCCAATGCAACCTGCATGCCAGAAGTGTACATCAGATCTGTGTGTTTCGAGGGTCATTGGTCAGCTACTGCGTGCGACACAAGGAATAAGAAGAGCATACCCGCAAATACCTGTGCTGCGAACCTCAATCGTAACCTCACCAGGCTTCAGTCCGTTGCCGCTCTTGACATCCTCCAACGTTGGTGCTGATTCCGCGATCCACAGATCGTGCTTGGGGTTTGTGTAGACGCCAATGTTAGGCTTCTCGAGCACAGTTGTGGTTGCGGTAGCCATGATATCCGACTCGTGGTGGAAGGACTGGACAAGACAAGCAAGAAAAAAAAATCAAAGGGTATAGAGTGTGAGGGAGAGATTGTGCAGAGAGGGGATAGAGGGGAGGGTAGTAGGGGGACCAACAAGCTTTAATACTCGAGTTGCCCCTCTGCCCCTCTAAGGATAAGAGAACAAAAAATTCATGACGGATATTCAGCTACCGCTGGCCGAATGATAATTCTCTTTGAATATTATGATTATCGAAGATCCATAGGTGGCCAGCTTGAATCAGAATCGAAGCTCAGCTCCCGAGTGGTACAACCTCCTGCGGGACACAAAGGTGGGATGGATGGAACGGACTGGATTGGTGTGGAGTAAGTTACTAACGGTTGTTCATACCTAGTAAGCACTCCTTACTAGTAGATAGGAGATCCTTACACCGCACTACCTACACCGCGAATGGTCCCGTTTAGCCGGGTCGCTTGTTCATCTTGTCAAGTTGTCCCCGCAGTCCGCGGGGGTTTTGCATCTGGACACTCTTCATTGGTTGAAACCAGGCTGGAGATCCATCTTCAATTGGAGTACATTCTTCTACTCTTTATGGTCTACCTACCAAAATAGGCCTACTTTGGAGTATTGTCCCTATGGGGTCGGAGAATTGAAACATCACCGCAGAGGAAAGGAATTGTCCGAGGATTATTGTGTTCGACACGCAGTAGATAGATGGTGTGTAAAATAACCTACCTAGTTCCGGAATATCTCTTCCCCTGCCACAACTGCTGCATGGTAGATCTATACAACCACCTGATCCATAGGGAAATAGCCCGATGGAGAGAATGGTGCTTGTCTTGCAAGAGCATCGATAGTTGGCTACTCAATATATTCGTCACAGGGTATGAATCGCCATGAACACAGTTTTACCTTCCCAGTCTTGGATACTGTCACTCAAACGCCCACTCGGTTAAATTAATATACAAAGGCTATTTTAGCCTCCCGGTGGATCTCGAAGCGCCAATGACCCGCGAAAACCGAAAAGAAAAAAGAAAGAAAAGAAATAATCACAAATTCACGACATTCTATGGTCGCACATGAACCTCAAAATCTCGGCGTCTCATTGGTTCAGCCCAAAATGCGGTTCCTGGACCACCCAACAGTCTCGTGGACTCCGCCCAGACTGGCAATTCTCCGGCGGGCTCGTCACCCTTCTTTGGTGGAGAATATCATTCGCGCCGGGCAGTTTCTTACCGACATCATCGACATCATACTCAAGCCAGGCTACTTTCCGACAGTTCATGTCCTTCGTACCGCTGGAGCATGCCGAAAAGGCGATATCTTTCCCTAAGCTATGGAGTATGAAAGATTCGGATGCTCACATGACAGGGGTTCACTTGACGGGACTGAGACGGTGATCAGACGTGGATTGTCACCCTCGAATCCCAAAGGAGGCCAGTCCGGGTGGAGGAAACAAGTAAATGAGAAGTCGCACACCAAACTGCTGCGCAAGGGTCCGGACCAGAATGAGATCAGGCAGTCCTCTGCCTGCCTCGTTAGACTGAGGGCTATCCGTCGCAGAAGCAATCCGCTGACACTCTCATGGATAACGTCCAGTGGGACATTGAAAAATGTGAACTAGGATACTTACAAGGATTATTGGCACACCAGGCGAGAAACAAACAACAGACTGAGCCTCTTGAGGATTGTACGTGACACGTCTATCGGCCCATTCTAGGTGCTGGTCAACCGATGAGGAGACGTGATCTACTGAGTCGATATTGACACTACCGCATCGAAACACTTTATATCTTCCAGAAGAAGCTTATTTTGTTTGTGTCCACTCCAAGCCGGATAGAAGAAGCAAATCTTATCGGCTGTTTGCTACTTTAGCCCGAGGATCCCCCGCGCCTCTCACATGGATGTTGGGTGCCTCCTCTCGCCATCTGCCCAATCCCAACTGAGCATCTATTTGCAGGCTTGTGGATCATCGTAGCGATAGTATGACGTTTTTTGCAGCTGTGCTTTGGTGTTTGTAATTGGCCACTCCAAGTCACTCGAGGCTACCTTAAGCATACGGATGGTTAATTCGGTGTTAATAAATAGGCAGCTTTTGGTCGTGCCAGCGATTTTGAGATAGCTCTAGAACCGATGGTGACAACGTGCAAACAGTATCCCTCCAGCATAGACCAATACCCGGGTCCGTCGCGCTATATCAGGGAGCCGACTGGGCCAGAGAGTACAGACCTCAAAAGAAAACCATCAAGTATTGCAATGTAATTACAACTTGGGTCGTAGCTCATAGCTCAAGGCCAGAGTCTGTGTCGGGTTTAAGAGAGTTCATTGCATATGTCTTCTGATAGGATATGCAGAACTTCGTAAAAAGGATCTTCCGCAATCATGGCTGACAAGGAACCGAGATAGACCTGGTATATCTAGCTCCTTGCGCGAGTCCGAGGCTAGAGAACTTCATTGCTTCGATCAGACATCCTTGAGTACAAGCCAGACGATTCTATGTTTCGCTACACTTGTACTGCAAGCTTCATCGGCTGCGGGTATCGTCTCTTGTCCGACACCGAGCCCACGTCTGTAATTCAGTTGCAAAGCAAGAGCCACAGGTAGTCCTGAGGAATAACCTAGAGCTTCGAGTCTTCCGTGCGAATCTCTCAGCAGTAAGTACAGAAACAGTCAAGGGATCCGAGCGAGGGCTTGAAAGGGATGTCCCCAAGACCGTTCAGCATTAATATAGGCCATAGATGTTACATCCTTCAGTAATGAGAACCTTTAAGCCTTCATGACAGAATGCCATCCCTTGATGTTCCTTGACAGTGTATGATGAGGGATGAACGGAAGTCACGTTGCCGAAATCTTGAAAGTGCCATGTCATCACGTGACCACCAAAGCGGCGGCCTTTTCCATTCCCTGAAGTTCCCGAGCGTCAAATCTCAGTCTTCGGTCCTTGCAATTGCGCGACAATCCTGTGTTTCTGGCTACTGACCTCCCGCCATTGGACTACTTCGTCCCTCGCCGGTGACCCTCAAAAGTTGTCTCTCTTTTTCTACCGTCTTTCCCATCCAGTCGCCATCACAATGCCCGTCACGGCTTCCCGTGCCGTGCTGCGGCAATCGCAGTTCCTGACCCGCAGAACTGCGGTCAGATATGCCTCCAACACCTCTGAGGCCGCCTCAAAGGCCAGTCAGACTGCCTCCTCTGCTGCCTCGAAGGCCTCCGAGGGTCTCTCCCGTGTCACTTCGACGGCTGGTCCTGCGATCTCCAACGCTGCTCAGGGTCTCGGTAGCGCTCTGAGGAAGGTCGGTGGAAGAACCGGGAAGGTCATTGCCTTTGTCGACTGTAAGCAGATTTGTTCCCCTTCCTGCCCTGTTTTGTCCTCTTGGTTGATGATGGAGTGACTGGCGGGGGTGCTTGACCACTGATTTGGTCATCATTCCGCTCCATCGCTCCGGTGACATTGTCCCTTGATACTGCTCGACAAGTTTCATCGTTCACTGCTAACCTTTGTGCTCCTGCGATAGCTTTGATACCCCCTACTATCTACTACTCGAAGGTTGGCCTCGAACTCGCTAAGCTGGTATTCCGTGGCCAGAACATGACTCCTCCGTAAGCACATTCAAGACCGTGCAAGACACCGCGTGCACACGCAGTCCACTGACTTCTATATTAGCAACATGGCCACCTTCCAGGCTTACTTCCAGCCTTTGGTTAACGCTGCTCGCAACCCCGCCAACCTCAAGAACTTCTCTCCCCAGAACATCATTTCCCGGGTTCGCAATGCCAACAAGAAGGAGCTTGCTTTCGCTGGCGTTACCGCCGCCGAGGTTATTGGTTTCTTCACCGTCGGCGAGATGATCGGTAGAATGAACATTGTCGGCTACAGGGGCCACGCTGATCACGGCGACCACCACTAGAGCAATATCAATCAATCATACCTGGCCTGTTTATTTCCCTTTGTCTTTGTTCTTCCTATGCTCTGTACTATTGTATGATAGACGATGGAATTCAAGCTGTTGTCTGAGGTAAAACATCTGAAGTTGGTGGTGCCATGAGGTGCTCCATGTGTGTCGGGCAGTTGGCTATGGAGAAGTCGGTTGTGACAACCGGCTGATGTCTGGGGTGACTTTGCTTAAGAATATCGATTTTGATCTGAAATATAGACAGACTCTTATCATAGAATCTGCTTGATTCCTTCTCTGTAACTCATCGTCGCAAACACCGGTCTCACCATTTGCAAGAGGGTAGGATTGCTTGAACAGTAAAGAGCAAATGCAACAAATCTACTCCAGAGACAACTCCCTCTATAAATATAGACTATCTTTGAAACACTGTATCAAAAATAAGAATCCATATATCTCCATTGTAGTCCTCTATGGCGTTGTTAGTGGATGCTCAAAAAAATCAGGAGACTGAGCGCGTCCTCGCATCTGATTGGTCCGTGCGGGAAAGAATTTCTGCATCGGGACTTTTTTTGTTCGCGGAGAACCCGACAACCATCGCAGCAAGAACAGCTTTGTTTTCAGTTCAAGCGCGATCGCGTACATCGACCTATCTGCATAAGCTTTTATCATCTTATGCGTTGAAGATGGACGCCTTCAAGTTGCTGACAAGGGCAACCAAGCTGAAGGGTGGCGCCGCCCCATCATCAGCGCAGAGCTCAACCCGTCTCCCGTCTACGGGCAAGGCGGCGAACCCGCAGCTCTTCCGTAGCTCGGAGGCTGACAAGGTTCTGGAAGAAGCGAGTCATGGGAGAAAAAGGAAGAGAGTGTCTGCTCCGGAGGCAGCTGAGTCCGATGATGACGGCGCGGAGTTGAACTTTTTCGGCTCGAGTAAGGCTCGGCGGTCTAGTGCTTCGATGGCGAAGGAGCAGGAGAAGGAACAGGAGCAGCAAGAGCACCGGGATGATGCTGATGCTGTTGATGAGATGGATGAGGTGCAGTGTCGTACGGTGCTGAATGCGCATAAAATCAAAGTCACGGATATGCGTGACTTGGAGGAAATCCAGCCTGTGCGTGTTGAGACTGAGGAACCGAAGAAGAAAAAGAAGAAGAGGAAGCAGCAGGAGGAGTCGACGCCTGCACTTACTAAAAAGGAGCAGAAAAAGGCTCGCAGAGTATATCCTCAGCCGCTTGTTTCGTTCAAGGAGTTGCGCACCCGGTACAAGATTTCTAGCCGGCTTGCCGAGAACATCGCCGAGCAGGGATTTACTGTTCCCACAGAAGTTCAGCTGGGTACTCTGCCGCTGCTGCTGAGGGGTTTCAAACCGTCCGAGAATCCGAAAGATGCTGAGAGCATTGAACCGGACCTGTTGGTTGTGGCGCCAACCGGCAGTGGAAAGACTCTTTCTTTCTTGATTCCTGTGATCAACAAGATAGTCCGCCACCACCATGAACACGAGGAGGAGCGTGGCATCTTTTCCGTTGTCGTTGCACCCACAAAAGAACTTGCGAGTCAGATCGTGAACGAGGGAAGGAAGCTGGTCCATGGGACTGGGGTGAAGATTACACTAATGAAAAAGGGCATGCGAGTGGTGGATCGTGAGGATGACGACGATGAGAAGAGCCACAGCGAAGATAGCGAAGAAGGTTCGGAGTCCGAACAGGACCAATCATCCACTGCAAAGAAAAGGAAAGGAAAAGCCCCTGTTACCAAGAGCGATATTCTCGTCACTACTCCGTTACTTTTGGTCAATGCGCTCTCAGCCAATCGAACGAAACCTATGGCTACTCTACCTCTGGTTAGAAATATTGTTCTTGACGAAGCAGATGTCCTGCTTGACGAGCTCTTCCGCGATCAGACCCTCGACATCTGGCGCGCCTGCACGCACCCCGAGCTCCGAGCAAGTCTGTGGTCAGCTACCATGGGATCCAACATTGAAGATCTCGCCAAGAGCACTATCAAGGAGCGGAAACAGGCCTACGATCAGACAAAGTCATACCCTTTGCTTCGTCTTGTCGTAGGGTTGAAGGACTCCGCCATTCCTAACATTGAGCACAAGCTGGTCTATGCCGCCACTGAACAAGGGAAACTCCTCGGCCTACGACAACTCCTACATCCGGCAGCGGCCTCAGCGTCTGATGTCCGCCTCCGCCCACCCTTCCTGATTTTCACTCAGACCATCCCCAGAGCTATTGCCCTGCATTCTGAACTGCGATATGATATTCCCGCTGAGGCCGGCGGCTCATCACGAATCGCAGTCCTTCACTCTGATCTTTCAGACGGTCAGCGCTCCGAGATCATGAAGAATTTCCGCAAAGGTGAAATCTGGATCCTCGTGACGACCGATCTGTTGGCGCGCGGTGTGGACTTCCGGGGCATCAACGGAGTTGTCAACTACGACATTCCCAACTCCGCTGCAGTCTACGTCCACCGAGTTGGGCGAACTGGCCGCGCTGGCCGCGAGGGTGGCATTGCAGTGACTTACTACACCAAGGAGGATATCCCGTACGTCAAGAGCATTGCCAACATCATCGATGTCAGCGAGAAGCTGCGTGGCAAGGACGGAGAAAAATCGATCCAGAAGTGGTTGTTGGATGCCTTGCCGGACTTGAGCAAGAAGGACAAGAAGGAGCTGAAGAAACATGGTGTCAAGGCCCGACAATCCAACCTCAAGAGCGTCAAAGACGACAAGGAGCACCGGAGGACGAGAATTAGTACCAAGAGCGGATTTGATCGACGGATGGAGAACAAGAAGAAGGCCCTCATCGCAGCCAGCCGCAACAGAAAATCCAAAACGCAGTCTACGGACCCTGGCAGCGACGACGAGAGCTGGGATGGCCTCGACGGCTAGGTTTTTAGCCGTCCCTCTCATATCTACATGTATTCCTGTACAAATAAAAGTTACGATTCCCCCGAATAGCAATTCAGATCACGAATTATCGTTTTTATTACTCTGTTCAACCTGAGGAACCTGCGGGACCATCGTCCTCTTGAGCTTTATCGGCGCAAACGGATTATCCAGCTTCCCCTCCTCCTCGAGAACCCACTCCAACTCATCACCGTCCCGGTCAAAGTAAACCGCCCAACTCCCATCCTCTTCCTGAACAGCCATAAAAGCGCTCTTCCCTTCCAGCGTGATGGTTGTCTCCTCGTCCGCCCAATCCCACGGCCCAACTACATGCTGCACACTCTGCGACCGATTCCCATACTTCAGCTCATTTGTCTCTTTATCCGCATAGATCCAATTTAGCATGGGCGGGTTATCCGAAATGGTAGTCACGAGGCCCAGTCCTCTTTTCAAATGTTTCGTCTCCTCCAGCTCCGGGTAGTCGATGTAGAACGATTCGGCCGTGTGAGAGGGGTGTTTGCGATTAGCGGGGAGGGGATCATCCAGGTAGACCTGTTACAGTAATTCCATCATTAGCCGCCTCAAAATCAATGGATTAGGTTATATTATATTATAGGTACCTTGTTGTCCCTCAAGACTATCCGCTTCCCGCGTATCTCGTCCTCTTCTTGCGTTTCGCCTGAGGTTTCAATGTCGATGTTGAATCGCGCCATCCGTCTGGCGTCCATTTTGCGTTCGTTGGCTTTGCGCTGTTCGCTTACTCCCATCGCCACGCCGGTGACGGTGGGGATTGCGGTGATTGCCAAGAGGCCGATGACCATGTTGCTGGGTTGTGGTTTGATGGATATATATGTTCAAGAAGGTTTGACGATTTGGAGTAAGAGTGCTCGAATGTAAGATAAGTACAGGTTTGAGAATGTATGGCTGATTTCACGTTAGTGAGTGGTCGTTAATGGGCGATCGCATGGATTATTTGTTTGTAGAGAGGTACAGCTAAATGTAACTCTAGTGTAGATATTCTAGATCACTTGTCGATGCATCATGTGCCTCGTGGCAATGTCGTCATACATCAAACGCACGTGATCAAAGGCATACTTCAACGTTCTCTCTACCATTGTTCGGTGCAACCATAAGAGAATACTCATCTTGATCTCAAACGGTGTTGCTTCTGATGAAGTTATGCTTCGGTAGTTTGATTGAGTATTAAGATTATATCTATGAACATCTGCAAGAACAACAACGTATGCTTATACCAAACAGGCGACTGATTCCCTAGAAAACAACAATCTCTAGTCTTTGTCTAGTTTCATCGTCATCTATCGTCTATGTCGTGACTTCGTTGAGGCAGGCCAACAAGGCTCTGATGAGAATCGGTAGGCTAGAGCTTCTCGCTCCACCCCCAGACTGACCACCAGCACCGGACCTCAAGCGCACCCCCGTCCGCCCCTTCCCAGTCGTCGTACCCAACCTCCTCGCCTTCTTCAACCACAGCTAAGCCCAGCTGTTGCATACGTTGCCGGAACTCCTGCACCTGAGGTATGTATGCATCCCGCAGAGGCATCTCGACAACAACACGAGCGTCCAGCCCGCGGCTTAGCCAGTGGCCGACCGTTTCAACCAGCCATCTGGGATGCTTTGGCGAGTACAACGGATCCGCGGCCAGAATGAGATCGTACTGTTCTTCCCTTGTTGGGAGTGGTGACGGTGCGACAGACCAGTCGAGTACGCCTGTTGTGACTGCTGCGTCCGTTCTTGTGAGCAGTTCGACATTTAGGGAGACGTTATGGGCAAGATTTGGTACGATGTCCGGTAGGTCTGTGAGATGGATTGTCGCCGAGCTGCCGCGGAGAGCTGCGAAGGAAAGGCCCACCAGTCCGGTCCCGGCGCCCAGCTCTAGCGCTCGGAGCGTCCTGTCTGACTTGGGAGTGGTTGACGACGAGGGGACGAGCGGCGGTGTGACATCGAGGATATTGTGGAGGCGCCGGGAGAGGAGGTACGATGAGACCCAGGTTTTCATGCCCAGGTTGTCAGCGGTCAATGAGGGCTCGTGCAGTGTCAGTGTGAGCTCCTCGTCGGATGAGGTAGGGATTGTGAAGACTCGGGACATGGCTGGCATGGCTACGTTCAGAAGACCCCGCGTTAGAATCCTCAAAGAGCACTACGATTATATCGTCTCATACCGGTACGTCCAGCCCGCTCGCTCAACCGAGCGGCAGCAGTGTCCCAAATGGCCTCCCGCAGCTCATCAGTGTCTAGCCATGAAAGAGAGCTGGAGACGATGGACGTCAGATAGCGGGTTACTCCGCTTGGGTCGACTGTTCTGCTCTTCACCGGTTCTTGGCCAGTACTGGTGCTGAAACCGCGTGGTTTGACTGCGAGAAGGTCAAGAGCTCGGAGAAGGTCGGTGCCGGAGGGTTTGCTGTAGATCTGGGGCAGGTCGAGCACTATGATAGAGGCTTATCAGGCCGATATCGCATGTTTATGACGGGCAGGCGGACATACCATGGAGAGGCTCGTCGACATCGGCACTGATCATGATGACAGTGGTCTGGTAGGATTAGCAAGTCAATTAGTGAGAAATAGACTACAACAAGACAGCGTCATGCATAATTTGATCTTATAATCAGCACTTTGGCTTCTGCTGTGGCAAAGACGTGTTGGCGATGCCACAATCCAGGCACAGAAAAAAAAAGTCGGCATTACCCGAATAGGAAAGGTCGGCGTTTGTAGTCCCGCGGATCCGGGCTCCGCTTCGACCAAAACCACCCGAAGAGACAACTCCGACACGAGATAAAAGCAAGGAAAATGATTGGACTTTTAGAATGCCATATCAATGCAATGCACATAACCATAAGCAGATGCTCCAGACGCCTATCGCTCACGATAACAAACAAGACTAAGAAATGCAATGGTTTCTACCGTCAGCCCAACGTCGACTTGAATCCTTGATAAGCCTGCTCAATGTCAAAGGCCAACTCCCGCGCCTGTTCCTCGCTTAGCTCCTCTGTTGCGCGCATCTGATTCAATGTGATCAGCCACTGAACTATTTTGCCGCGGTTCTCAAAGTCCGCATCCGTTACTTTGTTTACGGATTGGATGACTTCCGAGAGTAGCGGGTGTAGCGCATCTTTGGACACCATGTTCAGCTTCAGAGCGTCCAGGAAAGTAATGAAGTTCTCGGTAGCCGTTAGAATGAGGCTACCCGAAGGGCCGCCAACAGGACCTCCGGTGGTTGGACCTGCGTTGCCTGAAGGTGCTCCGTGGGAGGCTTGCTCGACTGTTGCGGGAAGGCCGATACGGAGACGCTCAGTCGCGCGGGGGCATTCCAGCTGCCAGAATGGTCAGCAACTCGTATAACAATTATATAGGAAGTGCGCTCACCCCCCATGTTCGCTTAAAGGTTTCCAGGTCAACAAACTCAGATGCGACGGCCTCATCGCCCAAACTGGACTTGTACTGCTTTAGTAGCCGGGTACATGTCTCGGTGTATTCCGCCTCTGTAACGACATCTCTGATATATGCCTTCTCAAGTCCATCGAGGGTCACAATTATGCTGTAAATCTCGGCCAGTGATTCATGTAGGTCGCGCTCCGCGGAGCTGGAGGCTAGTTTCACTTCCTGGCATGATGGCAGTTAGCCAGCAGCTCAGCACACAGGCGGTCGGAACGGGAGTACCTCATCGAGATTGATAGTTGCCGACAGCGCCGGATTGGGCGTGTAGCTGTAAGGTGTAGGTGCATACGAAAGAGGCCGTTGAGCATACATGATATGTTACTTTCCAGCTCACTATCCTGATGGTGATAGCTGGTTGGGTGGTGTGGGGGGAAAGGCGGTCACCCGATTGGGCGGCTCGGCGTGGATTCTGCCCCGACAGGAATTTTTTTTCCTCTTGCTTTCTCTCCACGCTTGGCTTTTCGAATAGTCCAACCATCTAATTCCAGACTTCGACTCCATCCACGTTAGGATTGGAGAATATACGGCAAGATGGCCGGAAGTCAGAAGAAGTCCACGAAGAAATTCGAGAAAAAGCATCTGAAAGATGTACTCGAACGGCGCAAGTCGACCGCGAAGATTAAGCAGCGCATTCATCTCAAAGAAAAACGCAAGGCTGACAATGCTCGGAGTCGCCCTGAGAATGGAGATTCTGAGGAGAGTCCCGAGGAACGTAAGAAGCAGAATGCTTTTGCGGAGATGAACGTCGACGATTTTTTCGCGGGCGGATTCGAGATTGCCGACGCCGATACAGACAAGGGCAAGAAGTCTCGGAGGAAAGATGTTACCCCCAAGATCGGCAAACGGAAGCGGTCAGAGGAACAGAAGGAAGAGGGCGAGGAAGACTCGTCTGCAGCCTCAAGTGAAGGCGAGGAAGATGGTGGCGTATCCGACGATGATGCGGAGTCTCAGGCCAGCAGCGCACCGGATGACTTCGAGGCGCACAAGGACCAGCTTCAAGCGTTGAAGGACAAGGATCCCGAATTCTACAAGTATCTGAAGGAGCACGATTCGGAGCTGCTCGACTTTGGTGAACACGGAGATCTCACTGAGGTCCTCGAGCTGAGTGAGGATGAGGAAGAAGAAGGGCCCGCGAAGAAAAAGAAGAAGGCGGCCAAGGATGAGGACGAGGAAGCTGCGGACAACACGCTCACGATCGCGATGGTCAAGAAGTGGCAGAAGTTGATGGAGGAACAGAACTCGATCCGCGCCATGCGGCAAGCCGTGCTCGCTTTCCGCTGCGCAGCGTACATCAACGAGGCGGAAACTCAAGAGCAGAAGTACTCAATCTCGGATCCCGATGTATACCATCAGGTTCTTGTGACGGCACTTGGTACTGTGCCGAAGGTGCTCGCACATCATCTCCCGGTGAAGGAGACGGCCTCCGGAAAAGTCAGGGTGTCTCTGGATTCGAAGAAATTCAAGACCCTCACACCACTCGTCAAGTCGCACACATCCTCAGTTCATCAGTTGCTCATTAATCTTTCCGATGCATCGACTCTCAAGTTGACCCTTTCGTCTATTGAACCGATGCTCCCCTATCTGCTCCAGTTCAGAAAGCTCCTGAAAGTTCTCATCAAGACCATTGTCGGTATTTGGGCTGATGTCTCGACGACGGAGGCAACCCGGATCACAGGCTTCCTGCTACTTCGCAAACTCATGGTCATTGGCGACTCCGGCCTCAAGGAGACGGTCCTCAAGGCCTCGTATGAAGGAGTTGTCAAGGGAAGCCGGAACACAACCGTCCACACGCTCTCCGGAGTCAACCTGATGAAGAACTCGGCCGCCGAGCTCTGGGGCATCGACCAGAATATCTCATACACGACAGGCTTCAGCTTCATTCGGCAGCTCGCCATGCACCTCCGCAGCAGCATTACCAACACCTCCAAGGAATCCTACAAGACCATCTACAACTGGCAGTACACGCACTCGCTGGACTTCTGGTCGCGCGTCCTCTCCCAGCACTGCGACGGCCTCGTCGAAGCCAAAGCCGGCAAGCAATCCGCCCTGCGGCCCCTCATCTACCCTGTCGTCCAGATCACCCTCGGCGCGATGCGCCTCATCCCCACCGCAACCTACTTCCCGCTCCGCTTCCAGCTCACCCGCGCCCTCCTCCGCCTCTCCCGCGCCACAGGCACCTACGTGCCCCTAGCCCCGGCCCTCCTCGAGGTCCTCAACGCAGCCGAGATGCGCAAGCCCCCTAAATCCAGCACCCTCAAGCAACTCGACTTCAGCACCGCCATCCGCGCCCCGAAATCCTACCTCCGCACGCGCATCTACCAGGACGGCGTCGGCGAACAGGTCGCCGAGCTGCTCTCCGAGTTCTTCGTCCTCTGGACCAAACACATTGCCTTCCCCGAACTCTCCGTCCCCATCGTCGTCGCCCTGAAACGCTGGCTGAAGCAGGTCGGCTCCCGCACGGCCGGCAACAAGAACGCAAAGGTCAACCAGGCCATCTTGCTGCTTGTGCAGAAGGTCGAGGCCAACGCGCGCTGGATCGAGGAGAAGAGGCTGAATGTCACGTATACGCCGCGCAACCGCGCCGAGGTCGAGTCCTTCCTGAAAGATGTGGACTGGGAGTCAACGCCTCTGGGTGCGTTTGTCAAGACGCAGCGAAAATTGAGGGAGGAGAAGGCTGCTATTCTGGAGCAGGGACGGCGCGATGAGGAGAGACGTCGCGCGGCGGAGAAGAAGGCCGATGAGGATGAGATGATGGAGGATGCGCCTAGTGATGATGATGGAAGTGAAGAGTCATCTGGCGAAGAGGAGGAAGAAGAGGAGGAGGAGGAAGAAGAAGAAGAAGAGGAGGAAGAGGAAGAGTTTGAGGAAGAGTAGATGCCCTCTTCTTCTAGATACCCTCCTTGTGTCTTAAGAGTCTGTTTGTTTCATTCATTCCATCTAGTCCTGTAGCTTGGGACAAATCCTGCTATGATATCTATAAAAGTTGCAAGGTTCGGGAACATTGTACACATACACATCAAGGGACCATAACGGTCTTTGATTACATACAAATATGCATGTGGACTATAGTAGAAAAGCCTATGGCTGGAATGATATATCTACAGTAATATATGAACACCACAATCAGCTATATATGTAAAATCGACGCAAAAGCAAGCTTAAAAACATTGTGTAGCGCCTCGTGTGTGAACGGCTCCGACGATATCAAAGGAAGACTAAACCGTTCCTACGGGCATCTTTTCACTTCCATACATACGTGTCTGCTCACGCCTCAGAACAGCATCTTCCTCTTCTGCCCAAGCGAGCGATTCGCTAGGCAGCATTACTGCCTGATCAATCGCAACAGGAAGACCTCTGTGCCGCCCCCGCAGTGTAACAGCCGCCAGAATCAGCTTGCTGACGGTATGCCACGACCCGCAGAACGAGTAATTTTTGCCTGGAAAGCCGACGCTGATGCCGACGCAGCCATACGCGGAGACAACCTCGAAGATGATGTTAAAGGTCGAGTAGGCGACTGGATTCTCGGAGTAGTGCGGCGACTCGGCGATGGTAATGAAGAAGACTGCGAGCGCAATCCACCAGATGTCATGGCTGAGTTGGGAGCGGAGCTGTTGGTGGACGAAGTAGCTGCGCGAGGACTCGACCATTGAGGCATTCTGGCGCCCGAGGAGGTGATGTCGGATTAGGCTCATGACAAAATTGGGGGATTGGCTGTCATGTGCGTCGAGCGGTTCGTCCGAGGCGTAAATGCCTAGGGAGCGCTCTTCGTAGACATTGGTGTTTCTGTGGCCGTTAGCAAAGGAAATTTGGAATAAGTGGGCCAGACAAACCTCATGGTCACCAATACTGGAAACGCCGAGACGTACTGCAGGGTGGTTAGCCGGGTATTTGGACAGGTTAGAACGACCACTAAACTGACCATCATGAGAACTACAAATTGTTAGCAGATGTCACGTAGACTCAATATTACAAGCCTTACCATATAACACAAGTAGTCCCTGACGCAATTCAGAGATAGTTACAACATAGAATCCTCCAGAGCGCACAGCTATACCAGAGCAGTTAGCAGCTGGAGATGAGCATGTCCATCGAGACCCTCACCTAAAGCCTGGAACAGCCCATCTAAAATGCGATAGCCTGCCGGCAGTGTCTCTATTTCCTTATTTCCAATCGCAAGAACCTCGAAACCTGCCCAGTCGATTCCATTCAAAATGATGATGGTCCCTAGCAGGTACCATGTATGACGGACAGGGAAGAGATTAGTGTAAACCTGCATCGGTCAGTTAGCTATAACGATGAAATACGGTCGTAGTCCATACCCTTCTGGGATGGTCGAGGATAAAATCCAAAGTGACCTTCCACGTCTCCCATGACGGCCGATTCGTCATCAAGCGCCTCATAGTCCAGATGATGAACCGTAAAAAGCAGGGGTAGAGCGTATTTCCTGCAAGAATCAACATGCCCATTGTAAGAAGTGGGTACGTACTGTGGCTAGTCAGCGTCGTCCTCGTGAGTCAGAGAGAAGGTAGAATACTTTGTTTGCAGAGCGGTCATATTCGCATCCAAAAGGGACATTCCACTGTTGACAAACGCAGAAACAGCAAAGAAAGTGCCAGTCCAGAAGGGCGACAGGCCATTTGCCCGAGGAATCTCTGGGTGGTTTACTTCCAGCCAGCCACCGACTCCAACAATACCGATAATCAGGAACGTCGACCAGTATAGCAGAACAATGACCAACAAGAAGGAAACTGCTTTGTACTCGACACCGCCTAGTTTCTCACGTTCCTCAAACGTAAGACCATGAAACTGCGAATTCCGTGAGATGAAGCCTTTTGAAGCGAAGTATTTCTGTGTATCTCTTAGAATTCCCTCCAATCGTGGAATCTCGTCTGGCTCTCCATCGAGAGGTATAGTGGGAGCTACATCTCTCGGATGGTTATTCAAATCGAGTCGAGCGCCCACTCCTGCCATGGGGAAGACTCTGTGGGGATGATGATGGCGTGGCTGCATATGGCCAATAGTGATTTGGTCGTCATCGTCCCATCGGCTATGGTCGTTGTCAACCGTATTGGAAGCTTCTAACGGGACATTTTCCGTGGCGGACGCCTTAGAGTCTTCAGGACTATGGGGTTCTTCCGGCTGCGAAGTGTGCGTTTTGGTCTTCCCGGCAGGCTTCAGGAAACCAAGAGTGGACTGCCCGAAAAGATTTCTTGCGGCAGAACTTTCTGAAATGGTCTTGAATTTGAGCTGGAACGCTCTCTTGCGCACAAATAGGACCGTGATAGAGATCAGAATGGCATGTCCTAGGATCAGTAGCGCAAAAAGAATGGATTGTTGGAACGTGTTTAGGGATGAGAGGTCCACCTGAAACCAGTCAGCGAGGTTTAACGGGCTGGATTCATGGAACGTACAGTGTTCAATCCAGCACCAGTCATGGCACTGACGCACATGAAAAGGGCATCTGCATAATGAACACTCCGCGAGGGAGTCGCGGAACCCCAGAAGATGATACTGCAAATCAGCGGTGTGGCGATGAAATACGCATAATGGAGGGTGAGGAAGTTGAACGGCGGCAGAACTGCCATAATGCAACGACCGAGCGGTCGAGACCATGTCCGTCTTAGTCGAACTGTTGATTTTGTCAGCCCTCAATTTTTGGCAATGAGACACCGAACAAACGGCGGAAAGACGTACCAATCATTTCGACAGGGTCTTTCTTAGATAACGAACAGGGGGTGAAGGAGCCTCCACAACAGCAGTACAACCTTGGAGGATGCGAAATAGAATGATTTCTTTAACAATGGAGAAAATTTTGAGGTTGAGAAGCACGTTCCACTGGTGCTTCTCTACCCGCCGTGGCAGTGTACACCGCTAGCCACAACAAGGGTTCTGAAAAAATTTCTTGACAAGTTGAAAGGTTTTTAATCTTGTTCGATAGTCCATTGCTCTGAGTCTCAGGTTTCTGTAGAGTATTTTTTGCTGTGTTGGTGCGAATAGTCGGTGAGGTTTCAAGTGATGCTGATAGTGGGAAGCAGAAAATTCCTCCGCAAAGGTGTTATGGATAATAAAGACTCTATTATGATAGAGACTGGAAGAAAACAGGTCAAAGTGTATGTTATTCCATTTCAACAACGCTTTCGATAGCCAGAGACAGTTGTATAGACTGCTAAATGTGTTGTTGATGACGAAGGAAAAAAAAGTGCGGACGAGGAGAGATGATAAATAGACATCCGCGGTGGATCAAGAAGCTTATCCAATTAAGAAAGAAGTTTCAACGGGGCCGCGGATCTCGCGCCTGATAGGGTTGTTCCTTACTGATAAGGCATACATCAACACATGTTCCATCCATATGGGGCTTTCTGGATATCCATTACCTACACAGTCGATTACATTTGTAAAGAACCCTAGATATCATTGTCAGTGGTTGACGAATTCGTTTTCTTCATTATTGACTGGTTTATATTCACAACTCACAAGTTGATATACGCTTAGGCTGCTGCCTAAGCCTAAAATATGCGCAGCCTGAACAGGATCTTCATGTAAGCCAGGACTTACGAATGGACCAGGCGTATTCACGCTTCATACGGGAGGTCGAGATGACGAAAGTTTTTCTGTCCTTCATGTAACTAAATAGTGGCTTACCGCAATGAGGACAAATGATGAGACCACTGGTTTATTTTTCAGGTAGATCTACTCTCTTCTTCTCATTCTCTTTGAGAATTCTATGTGTTATTTACACAAGCTCTAATGGTTGCTTATTGACCACGAGTAACCGTTGGCTACCAACCCAAGTTCCTCTGTAGTTTGTGGTCTGCGATGGATCTGGGGTTCCACTATTAGGCTTGACATGTTACATAGACTTTCACCAATTATAATATGACCGTACAGTCACAGCAATACTAGATGTGTGACAAGGCGAAGTAAATCCAAGGATGATAGCATGTCTCATCATCCACGGGATCCAGAATCATTGGCACATATTTCACACGCCAATCTTCTTGGAAGGCAACATTAAAGAGCCTCGGATTCAGCGTTATCCACCGCGCCTTGCAATATTCCCAGTATGCAGGGTACCATCCAGCCTGACCCCAGTCGATGATCGCAGCCACTTTCGGGTCCCGCCCCGGGGATACAATAATATTGGGTGGAAGAAGATCGTTATGTGTAAAAACAATGGGTACCTCACTGCTAATTTTAATCCCGCAAGTGTTGTGGAACTGTTCGACAGCGGTGGTGCCTTGGAAGGGACCAGCAAGGTCTGGATAGTCTTTAAGAAATATGTCGTTTAGTGGTTGCCTGCCTAGACTACCTATAAATCTTGGATGGTTAGGTCTTCAGAATGCCACAAGCCACAAGGGTATCAACTCACCAATATAAGGGGCATGGCGATCTTGTTCCAAAGACCTTATCATTTTTACGAAACGGCCAAGCTCCTCACAAATGGCTCGTCTCTCATCTTTATTCAAGCCGCCCCATCTCTCCATCAACATTTCACCCTCGATGAAAGACATGTATAGGAAAGTCTGTTCCGCATCCTGTGCCCAGCCAAAGATCTCAGGAACAGGTACACGGTTTTGTAATTGCTCGCGTAGCATGATTTGAGTCTGGGCTTCGAGAATAGTTACATCCGCGCCGTACTTCACAACCAGCCCCAGCGATGGAATTATGACAGGCGGTGGGCGATTAAATCTTGTGGCGCGGGGATTGCCCGACGCGTCGTTCATGGCTCGAACATCAGCTGGCGACGGAAGCGCATCCGCTCGTTTCTCCTTGAAGAAGCTGGATTCGCGGAAGATCTTCATTTTGAGTGGAGGATTTCTTCAATAGCGCGCAGGCCTGAAAGCGTCAATATGGAAAGTAAGAGTTAAGCGCGACTGAAGGGACGAGGGCACTCCAAGGGAAGCGAGATAAGGCTCCAGGAATCAGCCGTTTATAGGTACCGACTCTGCCCCCGAAGTTCCGAACCTTCTCAGACTTTGTGAAAACTGCCGACTTTTTCTGCCAAAGACCATATTCTTAGATTACTAGGTAGACTAGAGCAGCTGTATATGCAATATCTAGTCAAATATCTATTGGTTGAACGACTTCAGTAAAAACAAGATATGAGGGTATTAATTCAAACTTGTATCTTGAGCTATCTAGTTTCGCATCACCTAGACGGTGACAGGATCACAAAACATCCGTCTGTAAAGGGAAGCTCTTCCAGTACTGGTTCCAGTGTTTGTTCTGTACCCCCCGCGTGGACGGCCAGATCTCATTCAGGAGATCATAGATCTGCTGCGGTATATCTAGACGGCCGTTTTCAAAAATGTCGTCCTCTCGCCATAACTCCCATGCTTCCTTCCCAATCTCCCGCACATCCGGCTTTGTTTGGCAGTAGAAATCGGGCCGGGTGAGAAGAAATGAACGACTCAGTGGCCGGATCACATGCTTCTCCTCCCTCGAATAGAAGTTTGCTCCGAAGGGTATGATGCGTAGCTTTCTCAGTCTTTTACTGGGTTGACTTGACGCGATGAGGTCCCAAATACTCATCGCGAGACTTTCATCCGTCGCAGCATTGATGAGAGTCTCTCGTAAACAAGCAGTGCTGACCATTTCAGGACTGATGGGCGACTGTCTGGGATCGCAATGCAAATCCAGGATCAAGGTGTGTAGCCGTGTGAATCGACCGAGTGCTCTGTATATGTTGCACTCCCGGTGATTGCCTCTTTGGCGCTTAATCTGGAGCCGGAGTTCCTGCAAGATTGGGCAACAGTCTACTAGCCGAGAAATATGTTGACTGTCCAAAACTGGGTACTTGTATCCGTTGTCGTACAGCGACCTCCATGGGCGTCCTTCCTCCGATGCCTCAATCGCAAAGCCCTGCAGTGATGAGCCATGGTGCTGAAGGATGGGATCGAGGGAAGAAGTCCTGCGTAAGCCGCGCAGACACAGGAACCTCACCGGAGCAAAAGCTCGGACTGCGGCTACCATCTCCTCGTCATCCGCATTGACGTCTCCGTTGCGTTTGGCCCATGGGTCCATGTCAATAAACAGCCGATCTAAGCTGTGGAACAGCGAAGCGGCTTGCGTTAGCAAGCTCGGGTTGGAGTAAACGGACATGTCCAATGAGCGGAGCCGAGATAGGTCGACAAGATTCTCTAGTTTCAGCAGAATCTCCTCCAACGGTCCGTGTCCAGACCCGAATTGCAATGAGAGTGAGTCCAAACAAGCTGCCGGGACGGGCTTAAAATCAGCAGAGAAGTCTTTCCATTCCTGTTTGATTTTCAAAATAGAGCCATCGTTGGATGCAATGCTAGCCTGTATGGCTAAACGCTTTAGGTTTTGACCCATGCAGATAAAGGGAAGAAGCTCGTCGAGGTGAACAAATCCTTGACCTCCATTAGGATCGCTTGCGGTGAAGTAATTCACGGCAAAAGTATGGAGACTTGTGGACCGGAGTATACTAATCTCAAATGGATCGTCCATTGAGGCTCTGTATCCAGGATCAGGCATTCCCCGGCCCGGTACATCAATGCTCAAGTCCTGAAAGAACCAGATGTTCACCCTGCACCTCGGATGATACTGGCAGATGACCCGATGAATGGGTGCAGGGAACATGTTGTGTGCTGCGTAGTTCAGCTCTTCTAGGTTCTCAAGACGCGCGATCAACGACACGAGCGGCTGCCACTCCTTCTCCGAATAGTAATCAACACTCAGATTCAGAAATCTGAGATCCGAGTCCATAGATTCGCTGAGCTGGTGCTCCAGGAACGTGTCCCTGTGAGCTGGCGGGATGTAGTCGGCAAACTCCATCCCCCAGTCTTTAGCCTGCCAGAGACACCTTCCCTTTTTGGTCTGGATATACGGTTCATAAAGGCAGACCACATCCAGTTTACGGGCATATTTGAGAAACTTCTGCCCTATTCCGCCGTGATCAACCTTAGATGCGGTCTCCTGAAGCCCAGCCAGGTCTCGGAATTTTACTCTGAGTGATTCGAACAAAAATGGAGCCACTAGGTCACTCCACAGTCTGTTGGTTAATCTGAGCTGCGGAAGATCGCCTGGGGAGTCTGTTTTGATCTGGATTTTGTTAGTATGCTGAGAGCACAGATAGTAGATAGGTCAAGACAGACCATAAAACAGATATGTCGCAAGATCTCGATGGGAAGATCCTCCATGGTGTTGTAGAGACGCGGACGTGGTGAGAACTGCGCTAAATGTGGCTGGCAACGTGCCTTTATTTATTTCTGCTCCCATGGAAGGATATCCTTACAAAAATCACGTGTGGTAGGCCCCTATTAATTTAACAATGCCGAGCTCGAGCTGGTCATGATTCTAGCATGATTCTCGTCTCATCTTTAATCTAGTCGTTCATATTGATCTGGGCCCTTGGGGCTTGGGCCTATCTTGGCGAAAGTCCCCCGTGTTCTCAGCAGCATGCATTCTGTCAGGCAGTTTTGGACTTTCAAAGGATTTTCGTGATTCTATGTAATAGCGCGAGATGAATATTGTCATAAATCTCTCACTCAGCTAAAAAGGTGTCTATACAACTATCTCTAGCTAGTAGGGACCATAGCAGTAGCAGTAGGGTCAACACAGCAGGGATACAACACTCTATACATCCGGACCTAATTGTAACCTCCGCCTCCTGCGCAGATCATCAGGGAAAGATTGTATGGTCATGATGAACAATGGAAAATGCGTACCCCGATAGCTGGTCAAGGCTGCCCAGTACCAATGGTTTCACTGGGTTCTGGTCAGGTTGGCCCTCCCACACTTCTCGCATCTCGCTGATCTTTTCATGGATCCAGTCATATGAACGTTTAAGCTGGAATTGCATGTAATCATGCCACCATTCATCCCAGGCCGCGACGAAGAGGCTTGTCCCTCCATTATACTCCCTATCTACTTCCCGGAAAACCTTGCGTAGATTCGACACAATTTCCACAAAGGAATCAGAGACCTCTTCGTCGTTCAGATAATGCCAAACGGCAATGGCGGCCTTGATTAATTTGAGCGGTATCCCAGGTAAAGTCGTATCATGGACAAAAGTGGCCCACTTGTTCGCTGCAACAAGGTTCTTGTTACCCATGATCTGTTCACGCAGCAAGAGAGATAGACATCAGCAGACATCCACAATAGATATAGGAAGGGAACAAATACCCGTGCTTTCATCCCGTTGACTGGCTTCTCGAGCAGGTAGAAATTTTCCTTGTTCGTCTTGGTGCCAAGGGCCGCCATGATTCGCCATGCTGGCTGACTGCTCTTTTGAAAAGGATCGGAGGAATAAAGCGGGCTGTTAGTACGAAGGATGTTCGAATACAGGCCGTTTGTGGTGGTAGCCAGAAAAAAAGTGCAATCGATAGGATGGAAATTTGGCACTTTGCCGGAGGCCAGTGTTGCTCCAGTTGCATACTCAAAGAAAAGAGGAATAAGCTGAAGCTCGAGCACATGCTCGGTATCAAAGAAGTCACCAGTCTTGATCATCGGGTCCACCAGGGGGTTTGCGCAGTCGGCTCGAACCTGGTAAGCTCGCGCCCGTTGAAACTGAGTGTCGGTTGATTTCCATTTCCCGGCGCTTGGGTAAGGACGTGGCAAGATCTTCAAGTCCGAGACATAAGTCCCGGATGCAGCACACCAGACCCTGTATGTCTTGGGACTGGCGCGTTTGTCAAGAACACCAACAGATCTTTCGGTCAAGTCCGGATCATCGCTATCGTCAGCATTACCCTCCAGTTCCTCAGTCCGGCATAGATCAGGATCAGCACCTTCATCGCAGGGATCGCCCAGACACATGGCTGGATTCTGGTTTTTAGCCATAGCGCTCCACGCTCCAGGTCGGCACAGAATGTTCTGCGCAACGAATTCAGCGCCCAAATCGTACCAAATCTTCAATCCTAGGACATAGGGCCTAAGGAACTTCAGCTCCAGACCGAGGTAGTTATTGGATTTTGCCCAGTTATTCCAGTCGCCAGCCTCGAGCGTTTCCTTCGCATTCATCGAGTTCTCGTCGGTTTTCAAGAGCACCGTCAATATGGGAATCAACAGCTGCAGTTTTTTATAGCCGTCATCGACATCTCTTTGCACAATAGGAGAGGCCACCAAGCTCGCTCCATCCAGGCTGGCTCTATCCCAATCTGTGATCAAGATATCTCTCATAACCATTGTGTTGGATTGGTCGTCTGGCCCCCCTGAGCCCAGCGGACACACTCCATTCACCAGGTAAATTTTGAGGGCATCTGCGAACTCTTGCATCTCCGGGTTCGTTCGCCCCGTGGTGGTGTAGTAATTGTCATCGCAACAAAACGCACGTATACCGTGCGAGCAGGTCTCATCCGTATCGTACGTTGCAAGCCGGACCTTGTCTGCGGGGCAAGAATTCATACAGAACGTGGACGGTTGGCCCGCAGGAGGGGAATCGACCGACCGGTACCAAGCACAGTTACCCCAGGTCTTCTTTTTGTTGCTCGAGTCGTAGCATAGCTTCCGCTCTTCTTGTTTGACACGTTGCAGCGTGTCGTTGAAGGTAAGCTTGCACCAACTGTCGCCGCTTCCTGAGCTGGCGAGCGCCAGTGTCTCAGTTTTACGATCCTGCACAACTGGACATTTCCCAGCAGCGCAGTCCGGAAAATTGGACCATTGCAACGTGCTGTACAGCTCAGTTGAGTCCTTTCCGCTCTCACAGCATGCAGCCTGATACTTCCCCTTGCTGCAGAGCGTTCCTGTAAGGGACCCGATTTCGAACATACCGCGTGGACAGGTCGGGTCGCAGTTTCCGTTATTGTGTGTATACCAACCACAGCGGGGTACACGTTCTTTAGGACAGCAGAGGGTATGTACGGTGCCACCGAGACACGTAGTGCCCTCGATCATCAGCTCATCACCTCGATATCCTGGGTCCGAACGCTTGACTGCGACATAATCACCAGTGCAGGTTTGCCCGCAATTAGTCCACTTGCACTGCCTCTGCTTCTCTTCGGTATATACTGTAAGACCGTTGGGCGTAACACTGCTGTCGACTACGACAAAAGACGCTGGCTGATAATGTGGGACCGCCCCCGACAATGCTCTGGAGTACGTCCCGTTAAATGTGTCATGACTGACAGCCCATACCATGATACCGCCCAGGCATGTCTTGCGGGCAAACTCCATCTTGAGCTCAAAGGTTGCATCATCGTCATACGACGCCCACTGGTTATCCCAGGAAAGCAACTGAACCGCAGCATCCTTGTCCAATGTGGGGTTGAGACTTTTGCTGGCTCGGATGTCGTCAATCTCACTGTTGAGCAGCACACCGGTCTGCCCGCTGCATGGTCCAGCGTCGGAACCAGATGCGAAAAGACATCCTGGGGACCTGGGATTGAGTTTAATCGTTGTCTCTGAATAGCCTCGGGCCAACCCAGGATTGGGTAGAACTAACCTGCAGTTGGTGCTTTGAACGGTAAATGCACGGCTGTAGAAAGCTAGCCCTAAAACGACCTTGTCCGGACTAATTTGATTTCTCCAAAGTAGGTCCATTGCTGCAGTGATTTCGGTCAGATTTGTATGCGCATCCAGATATTCACCGGTCCACTTATTCCCTGTGAAAGGTGAATTAGCCACAGATCTAACATGATGTCACACGGTAGGGTCGATAGGGCTGCAACATGCCTTTATCCCAGGTGCCGTGAAGGTCGTAAGACATGTAGTTGAAATAGTCGACGTGTTTGGCTAGCTCCTTGATATCAAAATGCTGCAAGTACCAGTAGGATGTTGGCAGAGTCAGGCTGATCTCTGCACCGGTCGAAGTACCCTGCAGCGCGCTTTTCAGGTTTGCCATGAATTTCGGAAAATTCACAAAGTCTGCTGGACGGCCACCGCGATCCACATCCACTGGATATTCCCAGTCAATGTCTACGCCGTCAAACCCATAGGTCGACATGAAGGAGGCCAGAGATCTGAAAAACTTCCTCTGCTTGTCCTCCGAGGCTGCTAGGTCAGAAAAGACAGACGCAGTCGGGCCTGGATCATTGAAACTCCAACCACCAATGGCTATGTTGACTTTCAGATTTGCCTGGTTAGACTTCAAGCCCGTCAACCTTTTCATTAATTTGACCTAATTAGGATGTGGGGCAAGGACTTCGTATGTTTCTGGATTGATGGTTGCGAATGCGTAGTTAAGGTGCGTATAGATGCCTCTGGGAATCTGCTCTGGCCAAATCGCGTGGCAGGGTCTGCTTGTTGCCCAGCCTTCGTAATATCCTACGACACGGGAAAGGCTGTTGCCATCATCGCATGACGGCCTAGTGACTTTCCTATTGCCGCAGAACTCCTGCGTCGTGCCGCAGAAACCGTACTGGCTGCAGCAGACGTTCAATGGACAGGTGGTGGAATTTGCATATTTCTCACCCCAAGTTCCTGGATCACACTCTGCCTTCCTTTCGCAGGACGAGACACATGATTCCTTGCCGCAATCTGGTTTCAGTGTCAGCTAATTTGTCACCAGTCTTGTCCTCGTGCATGATTTAGGAAACCCGGGCAGAAGTGAAGAACGATGGACAATAAATGGGGAAACGTTGAGAAGAGACCAAGTGCACCAATGAACAGGGAATCCCCCAGCTAGTAATTCTTGCGCAGAAAATATTGGCTAACTTGGACGTACAGTCAGGTCCAAAACCACAAACCCCGAATTTGGAACAGCAGCCGATTGCACAGGGCTTGTTTGCACTACATTGGGTAGTGGCTTCATAGTTGCAATTGGCAACGCAGACATCGGGTCCCTTGACATAGATGTCACGTTAGAGATTCCCAGAAGGACATATTACCTCTATCAACAATGTGAAAGACGTACGCAATGGTCCTGTCCCGTCCCGCAATAGCCATATTTAGAGCAGCAACCCGTTGCACAGGGATTGGACGCGCTGCAATCTTGCGCAACCACCTCAATCGAGACATACGCAAGAATGAAGAGAGTCAATACTCTTCTCAGGAGGCCCATGGTAAAATGAATGATATAGCCTTGGGTAGGAAGGACTGATAAGACTCGTGGAGCCATTGCAAAGGGTCATTTGGATGCTTTATACTCGTACTACCTACTAAGAATCCGCAATTTTACAGGGCCCCCGAAGGTCCGATCAGAAGGACGGAGTCCACGTCGGCCGAATTCTAGCTTGCTCACTAATTACCATATCTACTAGGTTGTTCGCTCGCAGGGGACACAATCTTCAGAGCGAGAAGTGTACTCCAATTTCATAGTCAAAGATCGGAGGCATTTTCGTCGCTATGTCTTGCGGGGCGCATTATGGCAGCACTGATTTTCTTGGAGCGCCCACCTTTGGCCGCAGCATGAAACGCTTAAAATTGCCTGAAAGGAGACCGTGGAAATATTACTGCAAAGCTAGATTACTATTCATATTGCACTTATCACGGCGCTATGCTGCGCAAGCCACTTCACACTACAAAAGATGACTGGCAGTACCACGATTGTGATAATATCGCATCGAGACTAAGTATAACTAGTTGCAGCGAGATTATGGAGCACTGCAAATGGGGTCAATGCTTCATGCTTGTCCATCTTGTTCAGTAATGAACGTTGACTCCGCAAAATATATTGATTGATATGCCCGAGAATCTTGAGACCCATTTGCCCCACTTTGTTTATCCTGGTCGTGATATATTGCTATTTAGCCTTTATTGTGTTATCCCTCGGAGCCGGCGAACAGGTACTCTAGGCGCAGACATTTCCTTCCTATCATGGTAAAGAGTAGTGCAAAGTAATGCCAATGTAACATCGGTTAGCAGACTGTTGGAAGTGGTGATATTGTCAAAGAGAAAGCCCGGTCACCGGCTCAAGTGTCCGAAAAGTAAAGGCATTAAAATCACTGTCACATGCCTACAGTAGTCTACCCTGTGGCCCGGAGGTTATTACTTCGTACTAGTACTGGATATTGGTTGCTACTTGCGTCGTATTGTGACTATTGTCCTTGTTCCTGCAGATGCCCAGACACCCCGCGTATCTTGGCTTAATATACGGGGAGTTTAGACTCTCAACGGGGCCTAGTTGGGCAGAAGGATTGGACAGGAGTCTAGCCAAGGATTAGACCCTGTCAATCATACAAGTGCTGCCTACTACTTAGTTCCTGGAGAGTGGTGCCTGGGCCACATTTCGACCTGTTGTACCTAGTCCTGACAAAGTCGGAGTATCTGAATTCATCATTCTATTCGCAGTGTTTCACTCTCACAGTCTCATCACACATGATTGCCCCTGTACTAGTACCTTATATCTACTACATCCTTGTCTAGCAGGTTATTTAGATTTATTGGATTACAAATGAACTGTGGCTCTGCTGATTAGACAGACCTTACTGCAAACTGAGCCTTACCATCTGTCGCTCATCTCCGGGAGTTTCCAAGATCATCCAAATTGCACAATCATTGGACCACCAAAATACCAGCATGACTCGAACCGCGGAGACCTTTGGTCAATCTGACAGCTAATCTGCAGGTACTATGCTTGGAGGGCGCAAACCGTTTTGATTGCAATCTCTAGCAACACCACCCAACGTGCTCATCTCGCACCGTGCTCGGCTCGCATGATCATTGTGATGGATAGTTCATTTCCAGTCTTGCCTAAACGGCAAGCGTTCGATGCTACTGGGTTCGAGCTAGCCTGTTGAGAGATTTGTGTTCACATCCACAGCGCTTCAAACTCATATACACGGCCGACTTAGGCAACGCACTGCCGCTATATCCGGGGGCGTGGGATAGTTCGAATTGGGCCCAGAATGCTCATTAGGAGAACAAGCAAATTGCAAGCAGGAGGGTATCCAAGATCCCCCACCATGACCGAGTAAAATGGGCCAGCATTGTCTCCAGGCACATGCAAGTACTTTAGCCATACCTTCTCCCTGAGTGCTCCTCCATTTCTTAACTCCTTGACAGAAGCAAGCTCCTGAACTGAACACACAGCTCCAGGATGGCTCGACTCCATGGGCTGTTGCCGTGTGAGCAAAAACTTATTCTCTTTCTGGTTATACTTCTTTATCTTTTGACCCCTGTCTACGGCTCGAGCCATATCCATGAAACTCTGCATCACCAGCACCAAAAGCGGCAAAATGAAGCGGAACCATCTGCGACTGCGCCAACCGCCGTGTCTCTGCCTTCTGTCGTCCCATCAAGCCTGTCTGAAGCTGAGAAACTCATTCAAAAGGCGCAGCAGGCGCTTTCAGTGATGAACAAAGGGAGACTGGCATATCCTCAATGGAATACGTACCAGTTTCAGCCTGACTCACTTGCATTTCAGCCAGCTCCCACGCTGGATTATAACAACGATGGTCCGGTAGGCGCAGCTGATATTAGGTTGAACGCAACGAAGAGAAGCGATGAAGGTAGCAAGCAGTTCATGTACACCATCTCCCCGGAGCTCGCTGAAGCTGCTCGCCTCGTGGCGGAAGCCTCTCCGTTGCCGCTGCCAGGAGATTATGGGATTGACATAGGAAAAACCATCGGACAGTACAGAGTCCAAAAGACAAATGACACTAATATTCCCCAACAACAATACCTCAAGCCAAACGGACTCGACGGATACGTGTCTGCGGTACCAACATCAAAGCTAGCGCAAGAGAGAACCGAACTCAGAAAACGGGCCGCGAACGATTTTTGGCTTACAACAATGGAGCAGAGGGGTTCTAGTCCATTTGCACCCGCAGGATACAAAGTCAGTGTTCCCCCCATGTGATCCACTTAACCAATTGTACTAATCGGTCCTATCCTCATAGGTGTGGAGAAATGTCAAGGACTACGGTGCAAAAGGTAAGAGTGTACAAGTTCAAGTCCATGGACGAGCTCTACTGATTTCCCGCGAGGTGATGGTGTCACCGATGATACTGCGGCTATCAACAAAGCTATTTCTGATGGGGGACGTTGTGGAGCCGAGTGTGGTTCAAGCACAATTTATCCAGCCTTTATCTATTTTCCCTCTGGCACATACCTTGTCAGCTCGCCGATTATACAGTACTACAACACTGAGTTCTATGGAAATGTATGTCACCACTCACAGAATGACTGCTTGCATCATGCACTTTGCTCACCTTTCTGGTAGCCATTTGACTACCCCACCATTCTGGCGGCTTCAAGTTTCGTTGGCCTTGGTGTTATAACCTCGGATGTCTATACAGGGGACAACATCCAGTGGTAGGTTTGCCTGCTGGTGCTCATCGAGTCTCCAATCATTGATTACCTATCCAGGTACCTGAACACCAACAATTTCTTGAGATCTATCCGCAATTTCAAGATGGACATTACTCGGACGAGTCCACTTGCATACGTCTGTGCAATCCATTGGCAGGTCGCGCAGGGAACATCGCTTGAGAATATCATATTCTATATGATGCAGGACAACGTCACGACTCAGCAGGTGAGGCTACACAAGTCATTAGTCTTCTACGAGTATAGTGCCTGACCGTATGCTAGGGTATCTACATGGAGAATGGCAGCGGTGGCTTTCTCACAAACCTCACCTTCGTCGGAGGTAATTTTGGGTACGTCGAAGGGACATCTTTTGCCGGACTACATTCACTTTACTGACGATGGTTCAGGGCATATTTCGGTAACCAACAGTTTACTACATCGCATCTTTCATTTATGAATTGCAAAACCGCCTTGCAAATCCACTGGGACTGGGCTTGGACCATGCAGGATGTGGTGATCACTAACTGCACTAATGGCATCGTCATCGTTGGTGGAGTAAGTTTCCCTCTGCTGCACTGGTTACAGTACTTAAGATTGTTTGGTTATCCCTAACTCTGTCGCCAGGCTGGTGGTCCTCAAAGCACAGGACAGTCGGTGGGATCATTAATCATCCTTGACGCAGTCATAGCGTTCACAAAGACTGGGATCGTCACATCTCTCTTTGCGGAAAATTCGACTTCCTTCCTCCTCCAGAATGCGGCTTTTATTTCTGTGGACACTGCTATCCTGGATAACGTCAAGAGTAAAACCTTACTGTCTGGTGGCCCTTATGTAGCAGTGGAATCGTGGGGATTTGGGCAAGTCACATCACGCACCACCAGTGCCTTTATGAATGGCCAGAACATTCCTGCGATGAATCGAAGCAGCGCTCTAACTCGTGACGGGCTTGTGGTCCCGAGCTTCTTTCAGCGGCGTCGACCAACCTACAGGGACATTGGCATGAGCCAGATCATCGATGTAAAAGCCTGGGGAGCTGCTGGGGATGGCAAATCAGATGATACTGCGGTGCTGAACAGTATCTTGGATAGGGCTGCGAACATGTCATCCATTGTCTTCTTCCCATTTGGAGTCTATGTCATCAAGGACACTCTCCGTATACCCCTTGGCTCTCGAATAATTGGCCAAGCATGGTCTCAGATCATGGCTACTGGTCCAAAATTTCAAGACGAGCAGAACCCTCGGGTTGCAGTCCAGGTCGGTCGCAGTGGTGATGTCGGAATCATTGAGATCCAAAGCCTGATGTTCACTGTATCTGGGCCCACGGCAGGTGCTGTTCTGCTTGAGTGGAATGTTCATGAATCGTCCCAAGGTTCTGCAGGAATGTGGGGTAAGTTCAATATCTTCACGCATTTTGAAGAACAAAAGCTCACTGTACTTTCTGAAATAGACTCACATTTCCGGGTTGGAGGCGCCATTGGATCCGATTTGCAAGCGAGCAACTGTCCGAAGAAAAGGGGTACAGTTAATGAGAAATGTAAGGCGGCATCACTTATGCTGCATCTAACTCCTCATTCCTCAGCCTATCTAGAGAATATCTGGGTGTGGGCTGCAGATCATGACTTAGATATTACTAGTCAGGAGCAGATTGACGTCTATGCCGCACGGGGCATTTTGGTTGAAAGTCAAGGCCCTACTTGGATGTATGGAACCGCTTCAGAGCATCATGTCCTCTACCAGTACCAAATCTCCGAGGCTAAGGATCTCTTCTTGAGCATGATCCAGACAGAATCGCCATATTTCCAGCCTTCGCCAAAAGCCCCGACGCCCTTCACCGCCGGCCTGTTCCCCAGTGATCCTACCTTCTCATCATGCGATGCTCATTCTCAAACATGTGCTGTTTCCTGGGCTCTACGTATTCTTGATTCTAGCTCAATCTACGTGATGGGAGCAGGTTAGTGCAATCGCTTATGATGTACGCGAAACTGTGCTTGCTAACCATTGACAAAGGTCTCTATAGTTGGTTTTCTGACTATACGCAAGATTGTTTAGTAACCGCCAACTGTCAGCAGCGGGGCGTTGAGATCTCCCAGAGCACCGACACCTGGATTTATAATCTGGTCACCAAGGGCATCGTGGAGATGGTGAGTCCTGTGAATGAGAATGCCACCCTCTCCGCGGCCAACGTCAATGGTTTCATGTCCTCGATACTGGCATGGATTCGCGAGGGCAACAGCATAATTGGTAAAAGGAAGTTCCCTGGATTTCAGCTCTACGAGCCTGAATGGCTCGTGGGTCTGAATCTTACCGAAACTTGCAAGACTGCGCTCACCCAAAAGATCATTTGCCATAGCTATCTCGAAAAGTTTCGATCGCCTGTAGTTGGCCAGTACATTGAGAATAGTACTCTTGCGAACGAAGTCTGCGACAAGGGATGTGGTCAGAGTCTCAAGAGCTGGTTCGATAATGTGTCCACTACCTGCGCAAGCCAGTATATCAACAAAGCAGTGGCGACGGAGCTGGGCGGGTATATGTACGCTGGATATAATCTGACGTGTCTGAAGGATCCGGCCACAGGCAGATACTGTCCCGACATTATCAGTCATTTCACTGTGGTCAATAACGTTGCCTCGATGACCCTATTTGAAATGTGTTCTTTCTGCTTTACAACTATGTTACAGATGAGACAGGCCAGTGCTTACTCACCGTACAGTGAGAAAGATCGATTTGATCTAGAACAGTGGGTTAAGCCGACCTGTGGTCTCAAAGGGTCGACAAATCTGCACGACTCACTCTTCCTAGAAGAACCAGCCCCCACGCCCATCTGTCTGTCGAATCTCACCTACACGGTCCAGCGCGGAGACACATGCGATTCCATTGCCTTGAAATACCAAGTGGCATCTGCCGCCATCCAAATCGGCAACCCCACGCTGGTCTACAACTGCTCAGAGCTTGTGGCCGGCCGCGAGCTATGCATGCCGCTGAACTGTGGCCATCAATACATGCTGCAGAACAACGACACCTGCTATTCGATTGAACGCGCACAGTCTCTCTGGTACGGCGACGTCAGGAAGTACAATCCCTGGGTCAACTCCGAATGCAGCAACCTCCAATCCACGCGCGAGGTCCACGGCAGCATTATCTGTCTTTCGCCGCAGGGGGGGCTGTTCAATGACACTGGAAGCCATCCAAACCTAGGCGCCACGTCTCCCTGGTCAAACACAGGCTACACCCAATCCACTCAGTACCCGCCCGATGGCTTCCCCGTTGCCAAGGGCACGACACTGTTCTGTGGTCGGTGGCATACAGTCGTGAGGGGGGATACCTGCCGGAGTATCTGCATCGCAGACGGGATTCCCTCAACTTTATTCATGGATGTCAATCCATCATTGTCCAGGATTGATTGCGACGGATCTCTGATAGAGGGAACCACTTATTGCACGGGCCCAGACACTCACTGGGATGATACGGATTTCTGGGATGAGGATGACTACATTATCTTGGATTGAAGGGTACGGCTGTTGCCAGTTTGTCAAGGCTTGTTGTGTCGTGTATTTAGTGCCGTAGGAGAATCAAGTTGAATGGGCATTGGCCCCTATCAAATCACATATGCAAGAATCTCGCATCCTTGATTGGTCCTCAGAAGAAGTGTTTATATACGCTGATTGCGATTGGAGAAAAAATAGCAAGAGAAATATATAACCAGCCTAGGCGCCTTGGTTAATAATTCCCTCTTCTAAGCCCCTAGAAGACTATTATGTTAATATTAGGTTATAATGGGACAAAGAAGAAGTAGAAAAAGAAGACAGATATAGTAAAGCCTATATAACCTATAGATAATAGTATTTTCAAAAATTATATAGTGGTAACCCTTTTTCTCTCAAGATAGTTAGACAATATTCAACAGGCATAACAAAATATGTTATATCATTTATAGTAATACACCTTATAAGGAGCGCCAGCACACAATACATCGCAGAACAACTTACAGGTATATAGAGTTGATCAAAGCATAAAAATACATATCAGCAATGCAACACCAGCCATAAACAAGTACAGGTTAAAATGGCCAAATTTGTGCGGCTGGGCACTAGTTACCTCCAAAGCATGTTTGCTTTTATCTTCTCACGCTGACCTGCAGACTGCCAATTGAATAATGAATTACCCCACGTTTTAGCGCTGACGAGACTATATGGGACTCGATTGCCTGCCACACTGATCGTCGAAAGCATCAAAGTTGGATGCTTACAGGCGGATAAACCCTTCGTATTTGTCTACGAGCATCTGCTGCACCGTCATGACTTCTCGCTCGTCCTCGTCCTTCTTCTCCCGCTTGAAGCATAAGGGTTCCAAGAAGAGGGGTGATCGTTCAGGTGAGGCGCCTCCGGCTAATGCCAAAACAACAGCCCACAAAACTATCGATGACCTTCTTCAAAATGCTGGTCCCGGTGCTGTTCCGACGGCCCCATCTTCTGGAAGCAAAGAAATGATCCACGATATAGCTGAGCGTCTGTGGAACGCGGCCTACGACGGCCTGAAAGTTGAGAAAAAGGAGCTGGTTGACGCCTACGAGAGGATACTGTCTCGTGAACTCGGTGATCCATCCTCTGGGGATGCAGAAAGCAATAAGATTGAACAGAGCGATCCTCAGAAGAGGCAGTCACAGATGGAAGAGCTCATCCGGGTCGGTATGAAGAAGTTAGAACGAGGAGACAAGGTGAAGTTGGGTATTGGGGAAGCGATGCAGGGTGTTCTTGCTTTGAATAATGTCATTGGGGCGGCGCTGCAGCCAGTTCCCCAAGCAGCTCTTGCCTGGGTAGGGATTTCCTTTGCTTTACAGGTGAGTTTCATGTATATCTAGGTGGCTTCCTCTCTGGGGAACATCCGCTAATCCACGAATAGATACTTGTTAACCCGACTACGGAAACTACGGCGAATCGTGAGGGAATCACTTATGTCGCTGCGCGGATGGCCTGGTATTGCGAGCTGTCGGAACTACTGCTCGGGGAGAACACAGTGGATGGGGGCTCGTCTGCAGGTCTGCGTTCCAAGTTGGAGGGTCGATTGATCGATCTCTACAAGCTCCTCCTATCGTACCTCATGAAGAGCGTCTGCTCTCTTTATCGGAATCGCGTTGTGAACTACCTCCAGGACATGATCAAGCTCAATGACTGGGACGGCAACTTGAAGGCGATTCAAACCGCTGAAAAAATAGTTCAGCAGGATTCTGCCGACTATAATACTCAACAGATAAAATCGCATCTGGAACAGCTGGTCAGTTTTGCTCAAAACCAAGAGACGGAACTTCTCTCCAACCTCGAGCAAGCACTTCAGAATCAGACCAAGCTGCAGAAGGAGATGAAGGACAAGGAAGAGGACAACAGGTTGCTGAAGGACCTTTGTCTGACAGACCCCAGAGATGACATCGCACGTATTGAACAAACCAAGGGCCGGCTACTTGAGGGCTCGTGTGCTTGGATTCTTGAGCGTCAGGATTTTATCGATTGGAGAGACGGAGATGGATATGGCCTGTATTGGATCAAAGGCGGGCCGGGAAAGGGCAAGACGATGCTTTTGATTGGCATTACCCAGGACATGCTGCGGACGGCACAGGACACCGGCCTAGTGTCCTTCTTTCTCTGCCAGAATACCGACCCTAAACTCAATACAGCGACAGCTATACTCCGAGGTCTCGTCTATCAACTTGCTTTACAGGAACGAGCTCTTATACAATATGTCCGCTCAGACTACGACAGCCGGGGACGCTTGCTGTTTGAGGATTCCAATGCATTCTTTGCATTGTCGAGGATTTTGTCCAGAATGCTCAATCACCCAAACCTCCCCAAGGTCTATTTTATCATTGACGCACTGGACGAGTGTCAGACGGATTTGCAACCATTACTTAAGCTCATTACAGAACATGCCTTGTCGTCACGGTTGCGGTGTCTTGTATCCAGTCGACCTAGAGACGAGATTAGGAGTCTCCTCGGCGTCAGCGGCTGCTGCGCCGAGCTAGATCTCGATGAAAATGCGCTGGAGAATGTAAAGACTGTGGTGAAAGCTTATATTGACTACAAGGTAACAGAACTTACGCAGCGGAAACGATACAGTGCGGAGCTCCAGCAAGAAGTAAAGGATTATCTCCAAATTCATGCGGATGGCACATTTCTCTGGGTGGCTCTGATCTGCCAGCAACTACAGAAAACCTTTCTCTGAAAGACATTGTCCGTCTTGAAATCGTTCCCCTCAGGTTTGGAGCCTTTATATCAACGAATGATGGGGGAAATGCATCAGCTAAAGAAAGAATCACCGGACACGTTTGATTATTGCCAACGTATCCTTGGGTCTATCACACTTGCCCTGCGGCCACTACATCTGACCGAGCTCGGTCTTCTGGCTGGACTTGAACCGGAGCTTGCTGAAGATCAAGCATCTCTAGAGGAGATTGTTGGATTATGTGGCAACTTTCTAGTTGTCCGCAAAGGAATGATCTATTTTGTCCATCAATCAGCCAAAGATTACCTTACTACTCATGGATGCAAGGAGGTGTTCCCAAATGGCGACGCAGTTATCCACTCAGGCATTGTTTCGCGCGCGTTAGAGGACATGTCGAATACATTGTGTCGGGATATTTGGAATCTACACGACCCCGGGTGCGCTGTGGAAGAGATTGAAGCTCCTGTTCCAGATCCGCTTCGATACGTTCGATACGCATGTACCTATTGGGTCGATCACCTCTGTGAGCTCGACTCGTATACTCAACAGAGCTTGGGACTATGCGATAATGGCGCAGTCAGTGCATTTTTCCAGAAACATTTCCTCCATTGGCTGGAGGCTCTCAGTCTGCTACGGAGTATAACAAGTGCAGTGGAGATGCTGGCAAAATTGGAACAGTCTCTTACAGTAAGTTGCAGTCCCTGTGACTTTGTATAGCAGGTACACACAAATTAACTCCGCGCGCAGGAAATACCTCGTGATTCCGCTCAGCTTCTCTCAATCGTTACGGATGCAAAGCATTTTGTCGATTATCATCAATATGTCATCGGGAACGCACCACTACAATTGTATATTTCCGCTTTGGTCCTCAGCCCTTCGTCAAGTCAAGTCAAGGCCCTGTTTGAAGACCAAGCACCCTCATGGATCAAAAAGGCACCACTTATGGATTCAGATTGGAAGTTGCACGTTCATATACTAAACGGGGCTAAAGTCATGCCGATCTCCGTCGCATTCTCTCCGGATGGACAATTCGTGGCATCGAGTTCCAGTGATACAACAATCCGGATATGGAACGCAAACACAAAGGCAGTTCAGCGGGTTCTGGACAGCCATATAAAACTCGTGTTCTCGCTGGCTTTCTCGCGCGATGGCACTTTACTAGCCTCCGGTTCGACCAAGACGATCTTCGTCTGGAGCCATCACACAGGGCAGGTAATAAAGACCTTGGAGGGCCATGGAGACCTTGTGCACTCGGTGGCATTCTCCCGCGATGACAAAATGTTGATTTCTGGCTCACACGACAACTCAGTGCGCATATGGGATGTGCAGACCGGAAAACTCCTCCGAATCCTTGAAGGCCATACCGCCGCGGTGAGATGTGTTGTGGTTTCGGCGCATTCCCAGGTTGCGTCGTGTGGGGATGATGGTACAATTCGAACGTGGGACGCGAACACAGGAGCTCTGAAGCACATACTGACACCTGATTTGGGCATCATCTGGTCTATATCATTCTCTCCTGACGGGAAATTCGTGGCCGCCGCCGCCGGCGCGACGCTACAAATATGGGATGTCAACCACTTACAGCTTCAGGAAATATACCAGCGAGACAGCATGCGGGCATCATCTGTGGACTTTTCCCCGAACGGGCAACGCTTGGCCGTGGGATTCCAGGATGGAATTGTTCAAATATGGAATGTTGAAGCGGGGTCATGGTCACTACTTCAAACATTGGAGGCTGGAGAATGGGTACAGTCCGTAGCTTTCTCTGGTGACAGTCGCAGACTTGCAATTGCATCCAAGGCGACAGTGCGTATATGGGATACAGAGATTCAAGTATCGCAGGGGATTCTGGCAGCCCACACGTTGCCGATTAGGTCAATCACCGCGTCGCCTTGTGGAAAGTGGCTAGCAACTGGGTCGGTAGACTGCGCTGTTGGTCTATGGGACCGAGCAACAGGGCTGCTAGTACGCACACTAGAAGGACATACATCCACAATTGACTGCGTGGAATTTTCCCCAGATGGAAATCTCATAGCATCTGGGTCTCATGATTCGACGATTAGAATTTGGGATACCCAAACGGGCGATACAACACATGTTTTTACTGGTCATTCCGACCATGTACATGCGTCTGTATTCTCACGTGATGGAAGGAGAGTTGCATCTGGATCTAAGGACAATACGACACGGATCTGGGACCCGTACACCGGGGTTTTGGATAAAACCATAGAGACCTACTGGCCTTATGCGGTTGCCTGGTCTCAAAACGGACTGTTACTGGCATCAGGCTCCTGTGGGGCCGGTGTCCGCATATGGAACGCAGAGACAGGCGAGTTACAAGGCGAGATACAAGGCGAGCCAGGCCGCAACGGAATATGCGTGTCAGTTGCTTTCTCTCATGACGGGCGTTACCTGGCCTGTGGCTTTGTCCATGGTTCCAGTGAAATCATGATATATAATGTAGAAACTGGAGTTCTGCAAGACGCCATTCTCTTTAAAATGGTGCCTTCAGGCTTGAGCTTTAGCGAAGACGGTTCGAACCTCTTCACTAACTTTGGCAGCATCGCAATTGCATTGAAGCAGACTCCCGCACAGGCCCCAGAAGCGAACGCCAACGACGGCATGGAGTTGACTGCCCCCCAGCATAGAGAAGCGGAATGGGTTGGATACGGCCTGGATTTTGATATCTCCTGGATTACGTGGAATGGTAGAAGACTCCTCCGGCTACCGTTGGAATACCGAGGCCGGCCGCATCTAGTCCAAGACCGGTTGATTGCTCTTGCACATGGGTTGGGTCGGGTGATCATCTTTGAGTTTGCAGATGGTATGTCGCCATTGTAATAGCCTGTTAGATTTTCAAGTAGGCTCCTAGAAGCGACACATCGGCAGTATCAATCCATCGATCAGAACTTAGAAGAGCTCAAACCCATCCTAAACAGCAAGCGAAGCTTCCTTTTGAGTTCCCCCGGTCATCCCCTTCAACCAGCTTCATCTCAATCTTTGCAAAGTCCCTCATATGCACCCCTCGCCCGAACATCCAAGAGATGGGGACATGCCGCTTTATTGGTTTCTGAAGCAGTAGATTCCATTGGCTTCCTCCCTTATTTACACTCCCAAACAGGTGACATGCTGAGTAATAGTTATTGATTGCAGCCAGCAGCACTGGCGATTTGAGGTTAGATAATGGCACACCCCTATAGCTCAAAGACATACCCTCCTACCTTAAGAGCATACCCCCCTTAAACTTGAGAGCTGATGAGGCTGTGATTGGCAATCGAATAAGCCACTGTCCTTATTGGTAGGTCATTACCTGTCTGAGTAGTACAATCGAATCAGCCTTGGTGGCAGGGAAACAAATTCTTTTGCTGTCACCTCACTCCCCTGCTTGTATTACCTGTGGCCGATGCTGGTCTAGTTTTGTCGAGGCTTGTCATGTTATGTATTGAGAGCCCTAGAAAATGACGTTGAATAAAGAATTGGCTCCTACCAAGTGGCATATAACGCAAGCACGCATCCTTGAGGGGCCCTCAAAAGAACAAGCTGCTGAAGCATTGGGAGAAAAAGATAACAGACGAATACAACCCGCGTAGGAGACTTCGTCCATGGTCATGGATAGCTGCTTAGGGATGGGGATATCATACCCTCGCACAACGTACTGGACCAGCCCAAACCACACAGAGAGAGAGAGATGAGTCAATATTAAGCACCACCATATAGCGTACAGCGTAAAGCTCCAATCAAGGCTCCTCTTTAACTTGCTCATCCCTCACCCAATGCCCGCTCTTCCCCCCCTTCTTCTCCAACAACTGCACCTCCCCAATCACCATCCCCTTATCCACAGCCTTCAACATATCATACACCGTCAACGCAGCCCCAACGGTCGCCGTCATCGCCTCCATTTCTACCCCCGTCCGGCCTGAACAGCTGACCGTTGCGACTACACGCATGGCTCCATACCTCATTCTCGTCCCTGGCCTTCGATCTTGCGGCCTAAGACTGGGATCAACGAGTTTAACATCAACTTCAACACCCGTAATCCCAATACTCGGATGGCAAAGCGGAATGATATCCGGCGTTTTCTTCGCGGCCATTATCCCCGCGATGCGGGCGACGCTGAACACGTCGCCTTTCTTGGTGAGGCCCTTGCGGAGGAGCTCGTGCGGGCGTGCGTTGGAGAAGTGGACGAGACAGCCTGCTGTTGCGGCTCGGGCTGTGATGGGTTTTTCGGTGATTTGGGTCATGTGCACGGTTTGGGAGGGGGTGAGGTGGGGGAGGTCGGGGTCGGAGGTTGTCGGGAGGGATGGTGATGATGTAGCTGCTGGAGCTGTTTCCGGGTTGTGTTCGGGACGGGAATCGGGAGGGTTGCTATTGCTACGCTTGTGATAGTGACGAGCCTGGAGTCTGAACGGCGAGGTATGCAGGAGATGAAGGGGAATATTGGCTGGTGTCGTCTTTCTCTGATATTCACTATCTAAGCCTCCTATCAGCATTGGTGTACCAGACCATTCTTATATATCCGAATCAAATACATCATGTCACCTCGTCAACCAAGTAAGAAAGCCAGACGCCAGAATGTACGAAACAACAAAATATGCCAAACGGGTATATGAAAGTTGAAAGAACAGTCGCGCCTACCCACCAATAAGTATCATCGGCCGGTTCTTCATATTCTTCAGTTCACCCATGCCGGCGTGTTTAGCCTTTTTGCGCTTAACCGCCATCCCGATCAGATCAAGGAGCTCTCGCTCTCTCTGATTGACCTCACCACCCTCGTCCTGAATGCGAGCGGCCGCTTCCGCAGTCTCAAGAAGCCGGAGTTCTTTCAGTGTAGTTTCGTCAATCGGCTGGCCATCATTCTCCTTCCGAATGATATCACGCAGCGACACCTCCGTATTCCCGAACAGACAGACTTTCAGGTTCCCGTCGCTAGTGATCCGCAGCCGATTGCAGGTGCCGCAGAAATTATGCGTCATACTCGTGATAAACCCAACCCGGCCCTGGAAGCCAGGGATCCGATACGTCTTGCTGGTATCGTTCTTGTGCCCGACAACCTTCTCCAGAGACGGGTACTTCTCCCGAATCACCGCCAGCATCTCCTGGTACGAGACCATCTTGCCCTGGCTCCACTTATTCCCATCAAAGGGCATGTACTCGATGAACCGCACCTCGATGGGACTGTCCCGCCCCAGCTCCACAAACGGAAGAATCTCCCGATCGTTGATTCCCCGCATCACCACGCAGTTGATCTTCAACTTGATCCCCGCACCAGCCCGATTCAGCTCCAGAATGCGCTCGATGCTCTTCATCACCGCCTCAAACCCTTTCCTCCGTGTCATAATCTGAAACTGGAACGGATCCAGCGTGTCCAGACTGAGATTCACGCCCGTTAAGCCCGCCTCAACCATATCCTCCAGCTTCCGATGCAGCGAGATCCCGTTCGTCGTCAGACACAGCTCCCGCAGCCCGTTCCGCCGCAGCTCGCCGATCGATCGCATAAGCGGGACGATGTCCTTGCGGACCGTCGGCTCGCCGCCCGTCAGCCGGATCTTGGTCACGCCCTGCGAGACGAACAGCGACGATAGGTATACGATTTCCGGGGTGGTGAGGAGGTGCGCCGGCGGGGATAGCGGCACGCCGTCTTCAGGCATGCAGTATAGACAGCGCAGGTTGCAGCGTTCGGTAACGCTGATGCGGAGGTAGTCATGTTGGCGGTTGAAGGTGTCGGTGAGGAAGTCGGAGAAGGGTCTTGCGGATCGAAGGGCGGTCCATCTGGAGGAGGGCGAGGGGGGGGAGGAAGTGTTGACAGGGTATGTTGTGTCGTGGCTTGCTGTCGATGGTTCTACAGCAGCTGTGGCAATTCTGCTGTGTAGACGAACCTTTGGTACTAGCCGGCGATAACTGCGCGGGGAGAGCCGAAAGGCGACTCTCCGCATGCCCAGGAGAGACTCACTCATCCTGAGCAGAGATTTCTGCGCAAGGAGGACTTTGATGGAAATCTTGTGTCCTGCATTTAGGAAGGGGAAAAGCCTCGAAGAAGTTCAAAGCAAGGTTGCATTGTGGGTTCGTATCAAGGAACAAGAAGAGTGACTCCAACTCCGCGGAATCGGCGACCCCCGCCATTGCCTGCAGGGTAGCAAGATTAGTCACCGCCATTATTATTCGCAAAATTACGGAGTTCTGCGGCATGATATCACGGGGTATCCATCTGCCTTGATCTCGCTAAGTCTATCAACGATGAGAGAGATGGTTAGGTAATACTATGATAAGATGAATCACTACAGGCCCTAAGCAAGCTTTTCGACATGCTCTGATACATGAACATCCTGCTTAATCTCCTCAATCTTCCGCGCCAGCTGCATCTTCTCATCCTGACCTTCGAAAAGGTACGCCAACTCCTCCAACGTCGGCCCAGCAGTCTCCACGAAAAAGAAATACACAACGGCGAATATGATGGCGACCCATACACAGTAATAGATGTAAAACTTCCAGCCGATATTTTTCAGCCCGATGGGATTGACATACCCGCCAAAGATGGATGATACCTGGATCGTCAGCAAGACAAAGGCCCACGTCTTCGCGCGCATCTGATACGTCACGATCTCCAAGGGATATGTGACGATCAAATTGGTCCAGGCAAGGGTGTAAAAGGCCTGGAAAACAAATATACAGGCGAGCACGAGCCGTCCCGCGGCCAGTGAGCTGGTTTCCAGGTAGCGCTGCGCCGCAATGGTCCACACGATGAATGTAATCAGCACGCCTCCGGAGCCAGTGAGGAAGAAGAAGCGCCGCTTGAATCGGTCAATGATCAAGGTCACGGTGATCGCGACAATGTACTGCCACAAGGTGACCATGCCGTTCACTAGGGTTATCTCAAACTCGGTCTTCAAGCCAGTGTCCTTCAGGATTTGAGTCAGATAGTTTGACACGAGAAGGTTGCCCGAACTCTGACTGAAGACTGCAGTAGCAAAGCAGAGGAATATTCGCTTGAGATTGGGCACGGAGGAGAAAAAGTCCTTCCACGTCATGTTGTTCTCCGCTTCCTTTGCAATAGCCTGCTGAATCTCTGCGCACTCGAAATTAACTAGCTCGGAGTTGGGATCACATTCTCCGTGATATTTGACCAAGATCGCGCGAGCTTCCTGCAGCCGACCCTTGGCAATCAGCCATCGAGGGGATTCCGGGCAAAACCAGATTAGGCAGAATTGATAGGCCGATGGGATGACTTGGACTAGGGTTGGCAGCCTCCAGGACCATTGACTATTGATGCGGTAGCATCCAAAAGTCGCCCAGGCACCAATCACATAGCCCAGAACAATGGAGGTATTGTAGAAAGTAGTGATTTGCACTCGTTCCTTGGGATGGGACAGCTCAGTCACCAGCACTGGGGCACCCATCTGGATGAGCGAGGAGCCCACGCCCAGCACAATCTTCCCACCGATATACATGTCTAGCGACGTGGCAAAGAACTCAATGAGCACCCCAACGATAATGATCACCGACCCCAAAGCCGTAGGAAGACGTCGCCCGAACTTATCCCCAATCCAGCTGAGAAAGATAAAAGGAATGACACCTCCAATCGCGTTGGCCGCACCAAAGAATCCCAATCTGGAACCGGTCGGGTGGCCGAACCTATCTTGCCACGATTGCAAGACCTGCATGCCGTTCGTCATCGACTGTAGTCCATGTTAGTGGTGCTATAAAACGGGAGAGGGAGTCTCACCCCATCAATGCCTAAAGCTGCACTCGCCAGGAGGGACGAGGTAAGCAAGAAGTAGAGTAAAATACCATTCTTCCGACGCCAGAAGGAAGGAATGGAATCCAGATCGATTGGTGATAAGATGCCATCGGCAGCATGGGCAGCAGCGGGTGCCATTATCACGAGACTCGCGTGCCTCAGAGGATAAGGTATGATATGAGAAGATGCACAAGTTGGTGCCCCAGCGTGGATCAGCTCAGATCGCAGGACTTGTTCGCATCCTCTTATAGAATGGCCATCAGACCAGAGCTCATCTCGGAGTCATAACTATGCAAGCCACAGTTCAGATTGGTGTCGTCTGATTCTGGAACAGACCAGGAAAAGAATTATCACGACGGATTTCTCCCCGTGGGGAACTCCACTTCTGCTGGGGAAAGTTTAGATTTCGGCGAAATATCAGGGAATATCCAACGGAGAAATCACACCTGATGTATGGAGTATTTCGCCGACGATCATCATCTGCTGCACCGCTGCCCCGCCGTCGTGGAAGATACTCCGCCGTGAGACCTTGCGGAAGGAAAATATCAAAGTATAAGTTAATTCTCTTGCTCGACGGCAATTGTGGCGCTCATAACCTTCTGAGCCATCGTCCATGTGTGCGTTCCTTGATTCCTCCACTCAATCTGTCATGCCGTCTCCTACACCTCTTCCCCCTCACTTTACCTGGGGCTTTGCAACAGCCGCTTACCAGATAGAAGGTGCTGTTGACGAAGACGGAAGAGGACAGTCCATCTGGGATACTTTCTGTCATCTGGAGCCCTCGAGGACCAAGGATGCCAACGGCGATGTCGCCTGTGACCACTATCATCGGTATGAGGAGGACTTTGACCTACTCACACGATATGGTGCAAAAGAGTACAGATTCTCTATTTCCTGGTCGCGTATAATCCCTTTGGGAGGTCGAGAGGACCCAGTAAACGAAGCCGGCGTCGCATTTTACAATAAGCTCATTGATTCGCTGCTAGCGAGAGGCATCACGCCATGGGTTACTCTGTATCATTGGGACCTGCCGCAGGCGCTGCAAGATAGATACGGAGGCTGGTTGAATGTGGAGGAGTCACAGAGAGATTTTGAGCGATACGCAAGGGTCTGCTATGAGCGGTTCGGTGACCGAGTCAAGAATTGGATTACCCTCAACGAGCCATGGATTGTGTCCATTTTTGTAAGTCTAGTTCACTTCAAGATCGAAGATTGCTAGCTCACCCTGGCGTCCAGGGATATGCAACCGGTGGCAACGCTCCTGGAAGAAGCAGTATAAATCCTCAGTCGACTGAGGGTGACACCGCGACTGAGCCTTGGATTGTTGGAAAAGCACTGATCATGAGCCATGCCCGCGCCGCTGCCTTGTACAACAGAGAGTTCCGGTCCGTCCAAAAAGGCAAGATTGGGATTTCGTTAAATGGAGACTACTATGAGCCTTGGAACGCCGAAGATGAGCGGGACCACGCTGCTGCAGAGCGTCGGATGGAATTCCACATTGGCTGGTTCGCCAATCCTGTCTTTCTGGTACGAGACTACCCAGCCTGCATGCGAGAGCAACTTGGAGATCGCCTGCCCGAGTTTTCCCCCTCGGATTTTGCACTTCTTCGCGAAGCCGAGAGTGATTTCTACGGGATGAATTATTATACATCCCAATTTGCTCGCCATCGCGATCAACCGGTATCCGAAACGGACTATATCGGCAATGTAGACGAGCTACAGGAGAACAGTGAAGGGACGCCAGTCGGCGAACCAAGTGGTATCCATTGGCTTCGCTCGTGCCCGGACAAGTTTCGCAAGCACCTCACGAGAGTGTATCGCCTATATGGAAAGCCAATCTTCATCACCGAGAACGGATGTCCATGTCCTGGAGAGGACCAGATGATATGTGACGAGTCAGTCAATGACATGTATCGAATCCGGTATTTTGAGGATCATTTAGAGGCTGTGGGTCTGTCCGTAAATCAAGACGGTGCTGATATCAGAGGCTACTTTGCATGGTCGTTGCTGGATAATTTAGGTGAGCTCCTGACTGTACTTGAGGAGAATATAGCGGCTGACTGTACCTCGCAGAATGGTCTGATGGTTATGGACCTCGATTCGGCGTGACGTTCACTGATTATCAGACTCTGAAGAGAACTCCCAAGAAATCTGCCCTGCTGCTAAAACGCATTTTTGAAGAGCGAATGGGCATCAGTGCCAAAGGACAGACCGTGCCAGGCCCTGAAGTGCTCCGAGCGGAGTTGTGAGCTTGATGATGATATGATAAAAGGTCAGGCTATTTCCAATCGTTCAAATGGTGTCGGCGTATGGTTCAGAAAACCAAGGAAGTGAACCCTTCTCTGTTCTGGTATGACATTGTAGCCCTATGAAGGCCTTCTAAGTGTGTCTGAGGCTTTTGAATCCAGGCGAGTGAGGATGTCCAGAAGGATTGAAAGATCGTTGCGTGCTCGTACCGACAATGGAGAAGCCTCATACTGGTCTATTATCTCCAGGAGACTGGCGCCAATGAGCCTGATTTTTTCAACCTGCGGGGCTTTTAGCAAAACGCAGAAGATAAATAATCAGTCAGAAACATACACATGGCTCCCCATTTACCTGTAGCGACCAAAAGGGCGCTTCTCGGATCACTCGCAGCATGTCGCGAGCTATTTCCGTCTTCCTCAGTAATGACATATCGGGATGTTCGACTCCCGACGCATAGTAGCCCAGATCTTCTAGCTTCTGATCGATGACCAATCTCAAGCAGTGAAGGGAGACATTGAGATTCGCCCACTGGATCACGTACTGCTTTCGGCGATGACTACTGTCGTTGTTGGTTGATGATAGTAGAGTGTCGGTCTGTAAATACTGCGGCAACTTGTCCAGCGACGTTATAAAGGAGACGTATAGGTTGCCGAGCCTGTGGCGTTCTTCGACGGTCAATATTTGTGGAGTGAGCATCCCTACCTCCTTCTGGCTTTCCAGGAGTCGCATCTCGAGGATGAGGTCTGAAGCTGTCTGCCACAGACGTAGGTTTGCATTGAACCCCGCAATGAAGCTCATTCGCGTGGACAAATCCGGCTCGGCACTGGCAGGGGAAACACCTGTGCCATCCTCAATGCCAGAAGGGTACGCAGTGGTAATGCCAGTGTCGAACGAGAACTTGTGAATGGTGATTGGACGATTGTTAAGGATTGCTGCTGACTTATCTCCGATGTAAACGATCCAGAATGCACGTCGGCGGAGCTCTGCCTCCACCGCAGACAGGTTCTGCAGTGACATCTCATCGTGCATCTGCATGACCTGCGCCAGTCGGGTGGCTTCCCCGAAAATATGCCATGAGAATCGAGGCTTGCCGGCTGCATGTAGGCAGTTGGAGTGGAAGTAGCGGATAGCCACCGAGTTCGCATTGGGGTACTCCAGATCCTCCTCAAGGTAGCTGTGCAAACAACTCCGAGACGCCTTGAGGAATAAGTCCGCGATCCTCTCGCCCTCGGGGAAAATGTCTTTGGGCAAGAGAAATGCCGCTTCTGCGCAGACCGCCGTGATCAGCGTGAAGGTTGAATCGGGCCAGAGTTCCGGATATTTCAAGCTATTTGCGCGGTCGAGGATACTGTCCGCACCTATAGGATTGCCGCGAACGAAAGATGACCACAGCTCTGGGCCGGTGACGCCAATGCCTGATCTAGCTGCTTGGGATACAAAGAAAAGCAAGCCGTCGCGTAGACTGGGCTCATGCACTAGTGGAATCAGGGGAAACAAATATTCAAAGAACAGGTCAAAGCACCGATTCACCGTCTGCTCCAGATCTGCTGCAGGGTCGCGCAAGTGAAGAGCACGGGCCAATTGATGCCATCGCTGCAACGAGGACAGAGACGGCTGCTCTTCCGGAGGCGACAGTGCCGGGTCCACCAGGCCGGTATTCCAAGCGGGCGTGCTTGTCAGGGAGCTCGGTCTCGGAGTGCGGGGATCGAGAGAGACGACGCGGTCCGGCGTAGGGGAGACAGCGGAGAATTGCAGAGTTGTGGCAGGTTGTCCCGTGTGGAGTGAACTTGATAGAGTGATATTCTGGCCATGAGCATCGACGGACAGTGGTGCATGTCGTCTTGCTTTGTTGCTCTTAGGTCCCCGTCTCGCAACGGGTAAATTAAAAGTGCAATGCTCTCCAGCCCGCCGACAGCTTGTGCAAGTGGATAATGCTGCTTCTCCGTCACACTTTAGACAGTTATGTCAGTTAGTCCGATAGATTGCAATGGGGGCCAGTCGTCTAATGCACGCTTGATTAACTATAGCTTACTTTGGCTTTTCTTCGTCTGCAGCGATCACAAGCCCTGATAGACGGGCGGGTCGCAGTCATATTCTGACAAAAAAGAGAAGTACGTGGACAACAAAGGACAGGAGAATTGGAGAAATTCAGGAGTAGATGGAGCGGAGAGCGGAGACAGCGGACGGACCACGTGCACCTCTTGTTGAGTTTCGCCGTGAAGCGGAGATTTGCGCAAGGCATTTCTCCGACACTAGGATAGTTGTTGTCTAAGCTGGACAGTCAGATTCACAGTCTAATCACTTTGCCATTGATCTGCATCCAGGGATTACAGACAAATTACCGATGCAACAAAATAAAGTGTGGGGAGTTTGCGGGGTTGCAGAGTGCAGGTTATGCAGCCAAATATGAAGCACCAACCTGACGACTGCTTCGTGTATACATATAAAATCGTTCGATATCGCATCTGTTTTTCTACATGCAATCTATTCTCAAGCGTTTCCGCAGTCTGATATTTGAATCTCAGTATGCGCGTGAGCAAGCTTGCATATCTTGGTCTGTCATGGGCTGCCTTGACAGATGCTCGGCCTACAAAACCGAGCGGACCATCCTGCAGATTCGCTCGCCAGTACACACAGGAGGAAATCTTGAAAAATCCCAGCAACTTCATCAATGATCTGCTGTACTGGGAGGGTAAATTCCACCAGAACAATGTGTCCTACAATTCTGATAATGGGATGTCCTACGACGGGACCAACATCGACTTTACTACTGGCGAAAGAACAGTGAAGCATCCTTTCAGCGCCGCAAGTAAAGAGGTCGGTCGCCCTTTAGGCTTGCTATTGTCAATTCTAACTCGTTCGAACAGTCGCTCCAAATAATGCTGTATGCGCATGCTGTTGCTGGTTCGCCGGAAGCCGCTCGTTTTCTTTCACCCCAGAATCCGTCAGCTGCGCCAGGGCTTGCTGTCTCGATTATGAAAAGAAAGCTGCAAACTTACCTGAGATTCAATGAGACATTTCCTGGGTTTGGAGGCTACCTTCCTTGGTTCACTTCCACGGCCCAGGACCTCACACCGACTTGGGACTGGAACAATCGTGTTCCTGGACTGGACAATGGGTATGTCGATTCCTTTGTCTGTTGTCTCTGTTGACTAACTTCTCAAAGCGAGCTTCTCTGGGCTGTTTATGCCTTTGTGCAAGCGTTGGAGAACACTGGAAAGCCATCTTATGCCAAACTAGCCAACCAGTGGCAGAAGTGGATGGATTACACCAAGACCACTGGAGCCAAGGTAAGAACTCCCTGCTCTCATGTAATACTCCCTTGACTAATTCCTCAAGATCTTCTATGAAGGCAAAGGTCAAGTGTGCGCCGTAACGACCATCAAGAACCAGTCCCTGCCTGTGGATCATCCTGACCAAGGATACTCCTGCGAAGGCACTGGTCGGCTCAACGACCCTTACGAGGGTGAGTTGTTTACTTTCTGGCTCCAATTCTTCAGCGGTCTGTCCGATGCGGACATAAAACAGCTCTGGGCTGTAAAGCAGCCCATGCTGCAGAGCGTCGACTACCATATAGGCCACGTAGGACCCATTACTGTGCAAAAGGGTACGTCCGTCGAAGCTGGCAAGGATAGACCCGCTGATGACATTAGGTTACTGGTTCTCAAGCCACGAGCAATGGAAGGTCATGGAAATGCCCTATTACGACGTCGACATTATTCGGTACGTCAGTATCAGTCCTCGCATAAACAATGGAATTAACGATCAAAAGCCGTGTCTTCAAGAACGCCGAACGAGTTCGAACCTGCAATTCGGTTATCACCAAGACCCCCGGTATGTTCGCCTCCGTCAACAATATCACCGATGCAGCCACCGGCGACGTGACGGGGTACATCTCCAACGCCGGCATCCCTTCCGTCTCCTTCCTCCCGCAGCAGGAGCTGGACGTCATCACTTCTTACAGCGTGTTTCCAACCGTCCTCTTCGACAAGGGAGTCGGTCTCACCTGGTGGAGGAACATGGTAATTGCCAAGAAGATGCAGAGTACGTCCTTCTTCTACTCTTACCTCTGGATCAATACTAATCCTGGCATAGACCCCTACGGCAGCACTGAATCCACCCGCGTTGATGGAAAGGGCGTGTCAGCCCTCCTTACCTGGGACAGCAAAGTAACAACGGTGAATGCCCTCCTCGGCGGAGTCACCGATCTCGTCCGCCAGAGGATGAAGGCCGATGGTATTTACGAGGAGTTCATCACTTACGCTGAGGTATGCCATGTCTCCTTGTAACATGTCATATCCCCTTTTTAAAGCATGAGTGTTGTACTAATTTCTGCAGAAAGCATACGCCTCCGTCTTCACCAACCTCAAAGGTGAACACGTCGACTTTTGCCTTCCTGAGGAAACTGTCCCGGATGCGGGTCTGGAGGACTTTACGCTGTGTGATTAGTAGCAGGATATTCATGCCGAATGTACTTTATTCAGAAAATTCATATGTTTGTCCTCAGTCTGATTACGTAGTGCTTTAGTCTTGTCCTGCCCTCCACTTGCTTCCTGGTACAGACCTTCGATACCGTATCGGAGCTTGTTCGTAGATTCTCGATTGAGCGTAGCGGGACAAGTCTCCAGCGTCTTTGTACATAACGATTTCTTCAGTGGACTCCATATAGGCGATCCTGCGCGGCTTGGTGCGCTCTACGCTTCTCGGGAGGGAAACATTAACAATGAGAGTACCTATACCAATTTACACCACAAAATGACTAAAAATGATTTTGAGCACGTAGATTATGCGCGTTTGCGCAAAGCCAGTCGCTCGAGCTAGCCATGTACACTCACCACACTGAGTCAAGTCCTATGTACATGCTGAACTTGCACGAAAGATTCCATACCGCTGCTGATATACAAGCAGTCAGGTTTTTAACCAGGCCAATTACCGAAAAGCCGGGTTCCGGGTGACAGCCAGGAACGTCAAGGACCATAGCTGGACGATATCCGATTCTGTT